TTAAGTTGCCTAGTGCCTCGGCGCTCAAGGGAAACAGATCCTTTACAAACACACACACACACACACACACACACACACACACACACACACACACACACACACACACACACACACACACACACACACACACACACACACACACACACACACACACACACACACACACCAGAGCTGAGGTAAGGAACAGACAGGCAGCTGTGTTGGCGGAGGGAAAGAAAGGAACCACACCACCTGCCACACGTCACTGAGATTATGGCACTAGGCTATGATGACTTCAGCATTTTGATAGATTAAATTAACTTGCCCTCACCTGCAATCAAGCAGAAGCACCCCCCCGAGAAGCAATGTGATTGGAGGAAACCCAGTGCAGATACAGCACTATAGATAGGGCACTGCAATCACAAATGGTTTAAATCCCTGTGGGGACAGTAGTCAGGGAAAGTACTCAATCAAAATGTCTTCTTTCAATGACTTGCTGAACCCATTAGTCATTCAATTTACTAATGTGGATAAGAGAATAGCACAACTCTTTATGCCTGAATTGCCGCAAATGAAATGACATTCATGATTGTTTGCGAAAATATACACTTTATTAGCTATTTACTAACCCTCACAGTTGCCAATCACTGTACCAAGACTACATTGACAAAACGCCATACACTGTAATGTGGCAGACTGATGTTAGCTGTAGATGGTGGGTTGTTGTACCAGAGAAGCCTCCCTAAGCCGCTACAGAGATGTGGTGAACGATGTCTGTGAATAACTTTTTTCATGAATATTTCATGAAGGAGCGCAGTGAGAATCTCATTTATTTCAGTGTGTATCCACAAACAGCATCTTCAGGCAATCATACAGTATGCACAGCGGAAGGACAGTGGGTTTTTAGAAACGTATTGTTTCCTTAGTCCTGATTCATTGTTAATGATGCAGACTGTTTCCGAAAACTATAGTCTGTATGACACTATCTCAATCTATTCCAATCATATCACAGTGAAGACACAGAATAAACATATACTTTTCTTTCTAGCAAGCATGGTTGAGGTAATAGCATGAAAAAGCTAATTCTGTCCAAATCCACAAATCTCATTTTCGGAGGGATTATCTAAAGTCATCTGATGAAATTGTCACAAGCAAATTATAGAAGCAAGTAATAGCCGATGGGACATTTTGGAGGTAGGAAAGTCACAGCTTGGCAGCCTTAAAGCAGATTTACAATTGTATTTTGGGAGCATTGTGGGAAGATTAGAACACAGATAAAAGCCTCTGTGGCATGCATTCCATTCCAATAGAAAAGCACTGTAATAAAGGATAAACCAGTAAATCCTGTTGGTCCACTCCTGGGTCCCTTCATTACTAATGAGGAGTGGAGACCTCAGGTCAGACATGCCTGGGATATGTGTGTTGTGAGTGTCATGCAGTGGTGGCTGGTGGCACTTTAAATCGGAAGACGGGCTCATAGTAATGGCTGGAACGGAATGAATGGAATGTTGTCCAACACATCAAAGACATGGGGTCGTCGATGTTGTTGGCTGGGAAAGTGGTGACCAGCTCCTCAATGTCCTCCTCACTCAGCCAGGCTGAGATGTCCTCGGGCCAATCGCTCACCAGCAGCCTTGAGTGACCTGGTCCTGACAGCTTCCTTCCTGCTCCTGGGGAACACGCACAAACACAGGAAGGGAGGACGGGCCTTCCCACATGCCCCCTCGAGTCCTTCCCGCTCACTCCCGCTGTTTCCTGCAATACTACTTATCAGATTCCTACAAACACTTCCCACACATTCCACACAAAGAAGGCCATCCCTCAATACGAAGACGTGTTCACCACAGGATAGACGTGGCTTGGCTTTACCAGATGATAAATTGTATAATTTATCATTTGAAATGGCTAATTGGAAAAGCATTGGCGTAAAGAGGATGCTGGTCTGGACTGGATCATAATAGAACGGGAGCTAACGTATCCTTTCAGCCCTGTTGATATTATGTCACATAATATTTCTGGGGAAAGTCTTGTTGAAACTCCCAATCCAATTTTGTTACACTCAAAAGAGATGTAGAGAACAGTACATAACATATGTGGAATTTTGCATCTAAAACAGTATGAAAAACATGTATGCACTCACTAACTGTAAGTCGCTCTGGATAAGAGCGTCTGCTAAATGACAAAAAATGTAAAAGATGTAAAATATTCATTGTGTCATAATCCAAGTGTACGGATAGGGAAGAAATCTGTGTACTGGAAACAATGGCTAATGAAAGGAATACACACTGTAGGTGATCTATACAATGAAGGTATGCTTCTGTAATACCGAAAATATGATATGGGAGACAAGGGACATTTCTGGAAATATTTACAATTGAGGGAATGTCTGTTAACCAGCTGTGGTCCTCTGTAGCTCAGCTGGTAGAGCACGGCGCTTGTAATGCCAAGGTAGTGGGTTCGATCCCCGGGACCACCCATACACAAAAATGTATGCACGCATGACTGTAAGTCGCTTTGGATAAAAGCGTCTGCGAAATGGCATATTATATTTATATTATATAATTAAATCCAGGAAAGAATCCAATAGTGGAATATCGGGAATAAACCCAAACATAAAGGAGCCATTTGTTACTCAATATTTAGTCATTTACACAGTAAAGACTGTAAAAACCTTAGGACAATGTGGCAAACTGATCTTAAATGTGAAATTGAGGATGATCCCTTGTTAAAGATTTCGGCTAACTCAGGGTGGAACATAAGGGAAGCCACGGGGAAGCTCAAGGCTTCATAAGATGGGGTTGATCAACGATTATATGTGCTGGAAATGTCAAAAAGACATAGGGACATTCTTACATGCAATATGGGAATGTACATTAGTGCTACCTTTCTGGAAGGATATTCTGAAATATTTGGGAGAATGGTCAGGACCAACAATCCCAATTTCACCAAGAATATGTCTCTTAGGTGACAGAACAGAATGACCTAATGTAGCAAATGAAGAATTTGCACTGATCACTGTTGGTATCATTACAGCTGCTAGATTGATCCTTAGACTTTGGAAATGCCATGCCACTACTATTTTTACTGTATATTAACGATATGAAAGATGCTTGTTCTTGCAGTATTTTCCTTTATGCAGATGACTCTACACTTCTGGTGTCTCACAAAAGTAAAACTATGTTGGAGAGCATACTTAGCACAGAGCTTACTAACATTAGCAAATGGCTTGGTGATAATAAGCTATCTCTGCACTTAGGTAAAACTGAGGCAATTCTTTTTGGATCCAGACCTGAAATGAGTAGGTCCTCTGAAATCAGAGTGGAGTTAGGGGGTGAGGTGCTGACTACTAAAACCTCTGTTAGCTACCTGGGATGCATCCTTGATGGAAGCTTGGGAGGTGCGAGTATGGCCACTAAAGTGCTAGGGAAGGTTAATGCCAGGACTACGTTTTTGGCTAGAAAGTCCAAGCTGCTTGATAAGGACTCCATGAGAGTGCTAGCCACTGTCCTCATTCAATGCCATTTTGACTACGCTAGTACTTCCTGGTTTGGGGGCTTATCTAAGCTTATGAAGGGGAAGCTCCAGATAGCCCAGAATAAGCTGATCAGGGTAGTCCACGTACTCACATAGGCAGGAGCTGCTTTCAGGAACTCAACTGGCTGCCTGTTGAGGCTAGGGTGTCCCAGATTAGACTGGGTTTGGTTTACTGGAGTATTTATGGTTCTGCGCCCAGATATCTAACTGATTACTTTCACTGTGTTAGGGATGCACACAATCACAGCACCAGATCAGGTGTTGCTAATGTGTGCTTATACAGGTTCAGGAGTAATGCTGGGAAAGGTACTTTCTTGTATACTGGAGCCTCAGAGTGGAATGACATCCTCTCTGGGCAGCTTTAAAAATAAAGTAAAAAACAGTTTGATGTCTTCTGTGCCCATATGAATGACCCCTATGATGTAACTGCAATGATGAGATGTTCTTCTTCTCTGTTATTTGTTTTCTTATCTCGTTGCCATACTGTATTCAACCGTCTTGGATCTTGCCTAGCCATCTTGTCTCAAGAGGACCACAATGGAAATAAGTCCCAGACTTTATTGTGTGTTATCTTCGATGATTTTACTCATGTGCATGTATGGCTTTATGTGTGCTTGTTTTTTTAAATGGTTGAATTATTAAACTAAACAAAAAAAAACTTCTGGAACAGTGGATAGAATCAAAGCTGGAAGTGGCATTTTATGAACAACTGCTTGCTAGATTCACTGGTAGAAATGAAAGAATCAAATCTTTTTTTGGTATGTCGTTTCTTGGAATGGGAGGTGATGGCCCATGTTGTATGGTAATACTGTGCTTGTGAACCAATTTTGTATTGTAGCTTACGTGATGCTGAAGTAGAATTAGATTGTGTATGTGTGTTATACTGGAGGGTATGTCTGGATGTCATGCTCAATGTTTTTATGCTGTACAATGTGTTTGTTTGAGGAAAGAAATAAGGAAAAAAAGAATAACTGAAATACCTCCCAAAAAAGAAGGCCCTCCTTCGGTGCTGATAGCAAATTACCATTCATTCTAGCATGCAGCGATAAAAGACAGACTAGTGCTTTCTAACCTGTTCACTCAAATATACATCCTCTTTTTATCAACAGCACTGTAATCACATTTGCATGCCCTGGGAATATTTATCAGTCTCCCTCAGAGCCTCCCTCCCCCTGACAATGTTGTGTTTTTCTGGCCTTGGCAGGCACACTGTTCATCAGAGGTCACCTTCACATGACATTGTGCGAGCGGCTATAATTTTTCATGTATTGCTAAGATAAAATGCGCACTGTTGTGCGCAGTGCTTGCTAATGACACCACAATGCACCATGCTTTACATTTCCCATTATTAGGCAGCTGAATGATAACAGCGAGACTACTGGAGGTATTTCTCATTAACACAGTGTTGTTTGCTTTTCCTCACCTCTCTCCCTCCTTTCCCTTCACCCTCCATCGCTTTCTATCTTTTGTTCTCTCTATCCGTTATTCTAGTCATTCACTATCGCTGCCTTGTCCATCTGGCAAAGTAACACTACCACTGACTTCCCCATTGAATTCCACTCTCAGAAGCATACATGTGGAGGGAGGCTTAATGATGTTATGTGAAACAGCAGCAGCAATTTGAGTCAAAACATACCAGAACAGTAAGTGTCCTCTTATCAAGTCTGCCTGTACTATACAGTAACAACTCCTCTCTCCACAGCGTCCCAAACGGCACCCTATAGTACACTATACAGGCAATAGGGTGCCATTTGAGACACACACCCAGCGTCTCTGTGGCTGACTGGCTCAGGGGAAGGTTATGTAGACTCGCTGACCAGTTTATTAGGTACGCCCGTCTAGTACCTGGTCGGACCCCCCTTTGCCTCCAGAACAGCCTGAATTCTTCGGGGCATGGATTCTACAAGTCGGAAACGTTCCACATTGATGTTGATCCATGCTGACGCGATGGCATCACGCAGTTACTGAAGATGTCACGGTTTCGGCCGAGGCTGCCTCTCTTCCTTGTTCGGGCAGGCTTCGGCGTTCGTTGTCTCCGGAATACTAGCTGCCACCGTTGTATGTTTCATGTTCGTTTGCTTTTGTCTGTTTGTTGTGACACCTGTTCTCATTTAGCGTAATTAGTGTCCTATAAGTTTCTCGTTGTGTTTGTCTAGTGTTGTGTGTGATTGATTTATGTCTGTCGTGTGTTGTGCTTGTCATTCGCATATTCGCTCGGTTGAGCTTCACTCCACTGCGTTGGAGCATTTACATTTAGTGCGCCTTTATTTTTGTCGCCTTCGTGCGTAGATTCGCCTTCGGGCAAGTGTGTTCGTATTTTCCTTGTTGGAAATTGAACTAAAGTATTTTGGACTATACTTCGGTGTCCTGCGTTTGATTCCACCACTACACCCACCTACAGCACTCTTGACAGAATCACACACCATCAAGAATGGAATCAGCAGGAGCTGCAGCAGCCCAGGCGACGCTGGAGGACAAGGTTCATGAACAAGGTGACCAGATCCGGCAGATGGGGTCCGCTCTGCAGGAGGTGATCACCACCATCCGAGGCTGGGGGGCTCCTCCACCGCCATCCTCCCTGCCAGCACCATCGGCCAGTCAGCCCATTCCTGCTCCGGAACCCCGAGGAGTTCGACTCTCGCTCCCGAGGGCCTATGATGGGACCGCGGCCGGGTGTCAGGGATTCCTTCTCCAGGTGGAGCTGTACCTGGCCACCGTGCACCCGGCGCCCTCGGGACATGAGAGCGTGTCCGCCCTGATCTCCTGCCTTTCCGGGAAGGCGTTGGAATGGGCCAACGCGGAGTGGAGGAGGATCGACGCGGATACCATCACCTACGACGAGTTCTCCCGCCGCTTCAGGGCGGTGTTTGAGCATCCCCCGGAGGGGAAAGCGGCGGGGGAGCGTCTGGTCTTCCTCCGGCAGGGGAGGAGGAGTGCCCAGGAGTTCGCCCTCGAATTCCGTACTCTAGCGGCAGATGCAGGGTGGAATGAGCGGGCTCTCATCGATCACTACAGATGTAGTCTTCGCGAGGACGTCCGTCGGGAGCTGGCCTGTAGGGACACCAGCCTCTCGTTCGACCAGTTGGTCGACATGTCCATCAGGCTGGATAACCTGCTAGCTACCCGCGGACGTTCCGAGGGGGGTCCGTCCATTTCACCCTCCAGCGCCTCCGAGCCGTGCCCCATGGAGCTCGGGGGCGCTGGCGCTAGAGAGAGGAGGGGTCGGCTTACGAGGGGGTCCATCTCCTGCACCAACTGTGGTCGGGGAGGACACACCGCGGCTAGGTGCTGGGGATGGCCTCCTAGGGGAGAGGATGACAGGTCCCGCACTGGGGATTCCTTCCAGGTGAGTAGGCGCCCCACTCACCCAGAGCTCTCTGTTGCACATTTCTGTATACCTGTGCGTTTTCCACAGGTAGCACCTCATTCCCAGCATAAGGCGCTGGTAGATTCAGGCGCGGCTGGGAATTTTGTTGATAAGAAGTTTTGTTTAGCCTTAGGGATTCCCCTTCTTCCTGTTGATGTCCCTTTCCCCGTTCATGCCCTAGATAGCCGTCCGTTGGGTGCGGGCTTAATCAGGGAGGTCACTGCGCCACTTAGGATGTGTGCGCAGGGGGGTCATCAGGAGATGATTCAGCTATTTCTGATTGACTCGCCTGCGTATCCGGTGGTGCTGGGCATGCCCTGGTTGAGTACCCATAACCCATCTATTTCGTGGCAGGAGAGGGCTCTGATGGAGTGGTCTGCCCAGTGTGTGGGTCGATGTTTGGGCGTTTCCGTAGGGGCTACCTCGGTGGAGAGTCCAAACCAGGTGCCCGCACTGCACGTTCCCCCTGAGTATGGGGATTTGGCTATTGCATTTAGTAAGTCGAGGGCGACGCGGTTGCGGCCCCATAGGCAGGGAGATTGTGCGATAGACCTCCAGGCAGGAGCTGCGCTCCCACGGATCCATGTGTATCCTCTGTCTCAGGAGGAGAAGAAAGCTATGGAGACTTAGATAGACAAATCTCTGAGACAAGGATACATACGGCCTTCCACTTCCCCTGCGTCCTCGAGTTTCTTTTTTGTGAAGAAAAAGGATGGTGGTTTACGCCCGTGCATCGATTACCGTGGTCTCAATCAGATCACGGTGAAGTACAGTTATCCACTCCCGCTGATTGCGACCATGACTGAGTCATTGCATGGGGCGCGTTTCTTCACTAAATTAGATCTCAGGAGCGCGTACAACTTGGTGCGCATCAGGGAGGGCGATGAATGGAAGACAGCCTTTAGTACCACCTCGGGCCATTACGAGTATCTTGTCATGCCATACGGGTTGATGAACGCTCCGTCAGTTTTTCAATCATTCGTGGATGAGATCTTCAGGGACATGCAGGGGCAGGGGGTGGTTGTGTACATAGATGACATTCTCGTGTACTCGCCTACCCGTGTCGAGCATGTGGCCCTGGTGCGCAAAGTGTTGCGGAGGCTGGTGGAGCACGACCTGTATGTTAAGGCAGAGAAGTGTCTGTTCTTCCAGGAGTCGGTCTCCTTTTTGGGGTATCAGTTGTCTGCGTCAGGGGTGAAGATGGAGGTAGACCGGGTGTCAGCCGTGCGTAATTGGCAAACACCAACCACTGTGAAGGAGGTGCAGCAGTTTTTGGGGTTTGCGAATTACTACCGGAGGTTTATCCGGGGTTTTGGACAGGTGGCAGCTCCCATCACGTCTCTTTTGAAGGGGGGTCCGGTGCGTCTGCAGTGGTCTGCCGAGGCGGACAGGGCGTTTGGGAGGCTGAAGGACCTGTTTACCTCGGCCCCGGTGCTGGCGCATCCGGATCCCTCTTTGCCATTTCAGGTAGAGGTGGACGCGTCTGAGGCCGGATTAGGAGCCGTGCTTTCACAACGGTCAGGCGCGCCACCTAAACTCCGCCCCTGTGCCTTTTATTCTAAGAAGCTCAGTCCGGCGGAGCGAAACTATGACGTAGGGGACAGGGAGCTGTTAGCCGTGGTACAGGCCCTAAAGGTGTGGAGGCACTGGCTTGAGGGGGCTCAACACCCTTTCCTCATTTTGACGGACCACCGTAACCTGGAGTACATCCGGGCAGCGAGGAGGCTGAACCCTCGTCAGGCAAGATGGAATATGTTTTTGACCCGGTTTACATTTAAGATCACGTACATCCCTGGGTCACAGAACGGTAAGGCAGATGCACTGTCTCGGCGGTATGACACGGAGGAGAGGTCCGTGGAGCCCACTCCCATACTGCCGGAGTCGTGTCTGGTGGCACCGGTAGTGTGGGAGGTCGATGCTGAGCTCGAGCGGGCGTTACGCACCAACCCTAGTCCACCGCAATGCCCGGAGGGTCGGAAGTACGTTCCGCTCGAGGTTCGGGATCGATTGATCTATTGGGCTCACACGTCACCCTCCTCTGGACACCCTGGTATCGGCCGGACAGTGCACTGTCTTAGTGCCAAGTACTGGTGGCCCACGTTGGCAAGGGATGTGAGGGTTTATGTTTCCTCCTGCTCGGTGTGCGCCCAGTGTAAGGCGCCTAGACATCTACCTAGGGGTAAGTTACTACCCCTGCCCGTTCCACAACGACCATGGTCTCACCTCTCGGTGGATTTCCTTACTGACCTTCCTCCTTCACAGGGGAATACCACTATACTGGTCGTTGTGGACCGGTTTTCTAAGGCCTGTCGTTTGCTCCCCATGCCGGGCCTTCCTACCGCCCTGCAAACTGCCGAAGCACTATTCACCCATGTGTTCCGGCACTACGGGGTACCCGAGGATATTGTGTCTGATCGAGGTCCCCAATTTACCTCCAGGGTCTGGAGAGCCTTTATGGAGCGGTTGGGGGTCTCGGTGAGCCTCACCTCGGGTTACCACCCGGAGAGTAATGGGCAGGTGGAACGCGTGAACCAGGATGTGGGTAGGTTTCTTAGAACATACTGCCAGGACCGGCCGGAAGAGTGGGCAAGGTACGTTCCCTGGGCCGAGATGGCCCAGAATTCCCTACGCCATTCCTCCACTAACCTAACCCCTTTCCAATGTGTGTTAGGTTACCAGCCGGTTCTGGCACCTTGGCAGCAGAGCCAGATCGAGGCTCCTGCGGTGGATGAGTGGGCGCGGCGCTCGGAGGAGACGTGGAACGCTGCACACGTCCACCTGCAGCGGGCCCTCCGACGTCATAAGGCGAGCGCCGATCTCCACCGCAGTGAGGGACCGGTGTACGCACCTGGTGATCGAGTCTGGCTCTCTACCAGAAACCTGCCCCTCCGCCTGCCCTGTCGGAAACTGGGTCGGCGGTTTGTAGGGCCATTTAAAGTCCTGAGAAGGTTGAACGAGGTGTGTTACAAATTACAACTACCTGTTGAATATAAAAGTATTAACCCCTCGTTCCATGTGTCCCTACTCAGGCCGGTGGTAGCTGGCCCACTCCAAGAAAGTGAGATCAGGGAGACTCCTCCGCCCCCATTGGACATCGAGGGGGCACCGGCGTACTACGTGAGGTCCATCTTGGATTCGAGACGTCGGATGGGGGGTCTCCAATATCTAGTGGAGTGGGAGGGGTACGGTCCGGAGGAGCGGTGCTGGGTGCCGAGGAGAGACATTTTGGACCCGTCTCTCCTGACGGAATTCCATCGTGGGCACCCGACGCACCCTGCTCCGCGTCCTCCGGGTCGTCCCCGAGGCCGGAGTCGGCGCACGTCTGGAGCCGCGCGTCAAGGGGGGGGTACTGTCACGGTTTCGGCCGAGGCTGCCTCTCTTCCTTGTTCGGGCAGGCTTTGGCGTTCGTTGTCTCCGGAATACTAGCTGCCACCGTTGTATGTTTCATGTTCGTTTGCTTTTGTTTGTTTGTTGTGACACCTGTTCTCATTTAGCGTAATTAGTGTCCTATAAGTTTCTCGTTGTGTTTGTCTAGTGTTGTGTGTGATTGATTTATGTCTGTCGTGTGTTGTGCTTGTCATTCGCATATTCGCTCGGTTGAGCTTCACTCCACTGCGTTGGAGCATTTACGCACATGTTTAGTGCGCCTTTCTTTTTGTCGCCTTCGTGCGTAGTTTCGCCTTCGGGCAAGTGTGTTCGTATTTTCCTTGTTGGAAATTGAACTAAAATCTTTTGGACTATACTTCGGCGTCCTGCGTTTGATTCCACCACTACACCCACCTACAGCACTCTTGACAGAAGATTGGACGGCGGTACACCAACGCCACCAGCCTGTACCGTTGACACCAGGCAGGATGGGGCCATGGACTCATGCTTCTTACGCCAAATTCTGACTCTGCTATCAGCATGACGCAACAGGAACCGGGATTCGTCAGACCAGGCAATGTTTTCCACTCCTCAATTGTCCAGTGTTGGTGATCGTGTGCCCACTGGAGCCACTTCTTCTTGCTGTTAGCGGATAGGAGTGGAACCCGGTGTGGTCGTCTACTCCAATAGCCAATCCGTGACAAGGATCGACGAGTTGTACGTTCTGAGATGCCGTTCTTCACACCACTGTTGTACTGCACCGTTATTTGTCTGATTGTGGCCCGCCTGTTAGCTTGCATGATTCTTGCCATTCTCCTTCGACCTCTCCTATCAACGCGCTGTTTTTGCCCACAGGACTGCTGCTGACTGGATGTTTTCTGTTTGTCGCATCATGCGTGAAAAGCCCAGGAGGGCAGCCGTTTCTGATCCGGTGTGTCTGGCACGACAATAATACCACGCTCAAAGTCACTTGGAATGGGCAAAACGAGTGACCTAACATTCAATCGAACAGTAACTGAATGCCTCAATGCCTGTCTGTCTGCTTTATATAGAAAGCCACGGCCATGTGACTCCCTGTTTGTAGGAGCGATCCATTTTTGTGAACGAATAAACTCCGGTGAGTGTAAATATCGTTGGAGCCTACTGTAGCTGACTGGGGGGTAAGGGAAGCTGTGCCAAGATTGGAGAGGGTTTTTTATTTATCTGGAGGGGTTCCACTCTTGGACTGGCCTCTTCATCATCATCTCTCACTTTACAAGTCATCATAATGTATTTTTACTGTCTGCCCCATTACAAAATGTGTATAATTGCACGAAATTAGCTTTAAAAATGCAACATTTTCTCTCAGACTAATGACAAAATGTGTAGAATAGAATAAACTGCAAATGTTTCTGTGTTGAAATGCAGGAAGTTAGCTGTTCCCCCCCCCCCCCAAAGTTTTTTTGGGGGAGAGACTTCCACTTATCCTTCCACTTATACTGTGTTTTCAAAATACCCCTCGAGAGGCATAATCAGTCATGTCAAGCTGAGAAGAATTGCAGGAAATGCGTTTTAAAATGTCAAAAATTCTGGGGGAGGACCCCCCCCAACCCCCGTCTCCTGTTCATCCCCTCCCATATCTACACCACAATTGCACCAATCACTGGAAATAATGATAAGAGCATTTTCCTGTATGTTCTTACCTTGACATGAGGTATTCCTGGATTCAGCTAGAAATAACAAGAAAACACAAAATCACTTTCAAAGGAGAATGTGTTCATAGAGCGATAGAGAGAGCTTGGAATGTGCTCTGTCAACATGCCCACTCTCAGAAGGAAACCCTCTGTAAACACTAGTCTAGCTTGTCCCCCTGATGTTTAAAGACACAGCTGCATTCTGGTGCAGTGCTTTTTTGTTTCAAGTTTTAATGTAATGTGCACAAGTACAGTGAAATGCCTTTTTTGCAAGCTCTAAACCCAACAATGCAGTAATCAATATCAATGTAATACTAAAAATAACAGAAGGTAGAACAAAAACACAAAATAAATAAAAATAAGAAATACGAAATTAGAAGAACATGACAAAGTAAGAAGCTACATACAGGGTCAGATCCAATACCATATTTACAATGTGCAGGGATACTGGAGTGATAGAGGTAGATATGTATAGGGGTAAGGTGACTAGGCATCAGGATATATGATAAACAGAGTAGCAGCAGCGTAAATTAAAATTGTATGTAAATGTGTGTGTGTTGTCAGTATAAATGTGTGCATGGTATGTGTGTGTTGGAGTGTCAGTGTGCGTGAGTGTGTAGACTCCTGTGAGTGTGCATAGAGACAGTGCAAAAATAAAAATACAAGGGTCAACTCAGTCAGTGTAGCCATTTTGTTAGCTATTTAGCAGTCTTATGGCTCAGGGATAGAAACTGTTCAGGAGCCTGTTGGTGTCAGACTTGATGCAACGGTACTGCTTGCCATGCGGAAGCAGAGAGAACAGTCTATGGCTTGGGTGGCCCCAGTGATGTACTGGGCTATCCACACCGTCCTCTGTAGCGCCATGTGATCAAGGGTGGTGCTGTTGCCATACCAAGCAGTGATTCAGCCAGTCAAGATGCTCTGAATGGAGCAGCTGTATAACTTTTTGAGGATTTGAGGGCCCATGCCAAACCTTTTCAACTTCCTGAGGTCCACACATGCGCGCACGACTGTGCTTAGTAATTTGGACCCCGAGGAACTTGAAGCTCTTGACCGTCTTGTCCATGGATCCAGTGACCATCCATGGCAGGGTTGGAGAGAATGCACTGGCTGTCACAAAGGTAAGAGAGGGCGGAAGGGAGGGAGGAGCACAGGAATTCAATGTGTTTGATGCATACAGTTACAGTGAGTTATATAACAACAGGGGGTAACAGGCTGGTACCTAGTTTGCTGGCTCAAAGTGTGAAGAAGAACTCCATTGCTCTACAAAGGAAGAATAAACAAACATTGACAAAGAAGAATGTCTGGCATTTCTAACTGTTTAGAGACTGTGATTTGTACCAGAGCAACAGTGGTGTGTGGATGGATACATCTGTTTAAAAAGCAAAACACAACTTACTAAGACCACATCAAAGACTGTTTTGCATACCACATTGTACACCGTCACTGTCTAATCCATGGAGCTGTTGAAAAACAACAATGATTTATTTTATTTTATTAATTTCAACAGTTCATCAGTACAATATACAAATAATCACACAGAAAGAACAGAAATGAAGCAAAACTTCTAGTTCACCAACTAACACAAGCAGCAGATTATTGAGATCATTAAATTCTGCTATGTAAGGCTTCAGAGTAGAGACCCCCTAGTGGTCAAATAGGAGAACAGCACTATTTAAAAGCAACTATGTATGTGATTCCAGTATACCAACAGTTTATTCCAACTGAATAGGGATTTAAGAAATATTTGGTCACACCTTATATTATATTGATGTAATTACTGTGTATATATTCCTACAAGAACCCTAGGGTTAGGGTAGCACTGGTCCAGGGCGTTTGTGAAGGTTCAGCATTAGCAAGCATCACAAACACCATGGACCAGAGCTATGGTTAGGGTTAAGGCTTGGGTTATGAGAGGACGGATGGCCTTACCCTGAGACAAGCAGCTCTCCATCAGAAGAGAAGATACAGGAGAGCACAGGGGCCGACTGGCCAGTCACAGTGGTGCAGCTGCATCTCACAGCCTGAGAATCAATAACTCACAAAGACCTCCTGTAGAAAAGACCTTATCACCCACACCCCACTGTCTGTCTGACTGTCTGTCTGACTGTCTGTCCCACTGACCACCCCTCCGACTATCCCTGCCCCCTGCCCTTGGCCACAACCACAGCTGGATTAACAAATTAGAGAGAGGCTGCCAGTAACCACTGATCAACACTCTGGACACTGAGGCCGGGGTTCAATCCAAGGCGCTTTTTAATCTAAGGAGCTTTATATATAAATGTTATGGTTTGTATGGAGACTTTTGCCTGTCACCTTTATAAAGTGCATTTGTCAGCTGTCCAGTGCACTGCTCTATAACACGCCTTGGATTTAATCCTGGCTGGACTGTCCCTTTAGGAGTAGGCTATACACTATACATAGTGCATTTTAATTAAGTTATGCCAAATGATTTATTTGCAGGTTGACAACCAAGCACTGTGGTAAAACAATTGTTGTCCTTTTTAAAATTCATCTGATCTACATTATATTTTTTTCTCCTGGCAAGATTCAAAATCAGTAATTGCTTCTTTTTAATTGCTTTTCATTTGCCTTTACAGGCTGAGTAAGCAGTGATGGCCATGTGGCTGTTAAAATTCACAGTGAATAAAGAGAAGGTAATTATATTTCTAAAACACACAAAAACACTACAGGAAAATAAAGGGAAGGAAACATGAATAATAGCACATCAGCACCAGGAAGCAGAAGGCCAGTTCAATTGAAAGGTTACTGACACAAAAGAGAACCGACATTGTTTGACTAAAAAAATTCCATCAATGCGGCTAAGTCCATCTGCAAAAGACAATTTCCTCTGAATGTGGTACAATAAACTTGGTCTGCACTGCCCATTCTGTAGCCTATGAGTGGCACATGTTCTCTGGTTTCATTCCCTGTGCTGCTGTGTGCTTCCTTCAGTGTGCTGCTGCTCTAAGCAAAGGCACCACAACACATCCCTGTGGAACACCACTCAGGATGCACATATCACATCTCACCCAGGAACTGCTGTTACCACAGCAACAGAGACAGGTTAGCCACTGTATAAGTAGCACTAGACCATCCACCACTTTCCAAAGGGTAATGCGAAGCCTACTATCTGGCCATTCAGCTCATTCTAATATTTGTTCAATTCATGGCCTGAGGTGCTGACCTGTTGCACTCTCTATAACCACTGTGGCCCTGCTGGTCATCTATGAACGTTTTAACATCTTGAAGAACGATCTGGCCTTAATGGCCATGTACTCTTATAATCTCCACCCGGCACAGCCCAAAGAGGACTGGCCACCCCTCACAGTCTGGTTCCTCTCAAGGTTTCTTCCTAGGTTCCAGGCTTTCTAGGGAGTTTCTCCTAGCCACCGTGCTTCTACATCTGCATTGCTTGCTCTCTGGGGTTTTAGGCTGGGTTTCTGTATAAGCACTTTGTGACAACTGCTGATGTAAAAAGGGCTTCAGAAATACATTTGATTGATTGATGGCAGTGTTTGTGGTTTGTTAAAGGGCATTATTGCTTCCATTTGTATGCTTTTCATTGGGTTGTTGACTGTAGGCTACGGTTATGGAATGGGCAGATATATCAAAATACTGTATATCAGATGATGATCACAGTCCAAAACAAAGACCAGATATTGGATTCTATAAGAACTAGTATGTGTCTGAAATACAGAAGAGTAACTATAAACAATGTTTGGATACATTTATTGATTTTCAAATTGAAACATATCTTAAACCCACTGGGCAGATACTTGCTGGTCTTCAATCTGATATGACTGAAAGCAATCTATTATTGATGAGTATTATTTTCAGCACTGATGCTGTTTGTTCTAAAACACTAATGCAATTATTTTCTTCAGTGCAGACAATTCAAGGTTGACGATGCTGTGCTCGATCTCTTTATCTATTCCTGTGTGTGTGTGTGTGTGTGTGTGTAACAGAGGCCAGGCCAGCCTACGCGTTATAACATGCTGTGATATGATCCATATCTTCAGTTGACTGTCCTGTCCACAGGAGGCCAATCGAAACTGCACTGAAGTGCCATCTATGAAGGAGCGGTGGAACAAACCCGGCGCATTGACTCTCCATCATGAGACATTAATAACTGTGTGGTTAGAACATTTGGTTATAATAATAAAACCTTCCAATGGTTCTTTCTTTATTCAAGTCCCCACAGAGACTGCCATGAAGCTCTAGGAATGCCATAGAAAGGGGGTTTCTAAACAAAGCTATTTATAGTCTGAATTTTAACTCTCCGTACTAAGTCTGAGTCCCAAATGGCACCCTATTGGGTCCAGGTAAAAAGTAATGCACTATATAGGGAATTGGGTGTCATTTGGGATTGAACCTATTTATGGCTTTTCTCAGTTTTACACCTCAACAGGGCACTATCCCAATGTGTTGAAGAGAAGGGTGCCCTGAGGAGAGGATCACGTAACTGACGTATGTTTTAATCTGACCAATGTCAAACTCGGGTGCAAAGTGGCAGCAGGTCACCCCCAGGTCATGGACGTCCTTCTCCGCATGGAGCTGCTTCATGTCCAGATCCCACACTTTGATATCTCCAGACGTGTACACCCTGTAACAAACCTCTGACCACACAGAGTGAAGCAGCACGCCATCCCTGTGGTCTCTGTCACGGCACCAGACCTGGGAAGATGAACAGTGGAATATGATGTACCATTTGTACCATTTTGATAGCCTATGCGGAGTCTGTAAAAAACGGAAACATCCGGTTTTCAGTGATACAGTATCTTTAATCTAGCTTCCATTTCCCCTGAAACCCAGATGTGGGGACTCCATTCATGTGTTTCTTTTACACCTGCTATGAAGATTACCTATGCTGATTAGGTTGGAACAATGAGGACAAGCAATAGGATGTTTTTTTTTTATTTAGAGACCATTGGCATTATTTGTAAATTTAACATACGTTTATTATCATAGGATATGTATTTACAAGAATTTCCCTTAGACCTATACATGTTTTATTTATTACTATTATGAAGATTGGTTCTCTAATCTCTAAGGGCATCAGGGCAATGCGACATAGGGAGGAGTTTATATACTCTAAGTGAAAATACCAAAGGGCCACGGTTCCATCTGATTTCCCGGACAGCAGGGGGAGGAGTCGGGAGACAGCGATCACACCCTGACGGGGCTGTGGCCAGGATGCTGTAATTTTGCCATTAGCTCACCTGTCACCAACTCCAAATAGTCGACGCGTCTGTGGAGCAGCTGGACAGGTAGGTGCCACGAACTGAAACAGTGAACTCCATAGCCGTGCCCTGACAGAGGCGAAAACAGAAGCTCCGAGAAGTCATTCCTGTTATATATTCGTATGGTTTTATCCCATGAGCAAGTCGCTAGTAGTGTAGGGGAGAGCGCGCACCAATACACTTCATATCGATGGTCGTAGAGTGTGCGCATTAATGACACCATTTTTGTCACTGTTGATAGATATTAGTCCTGTAAATAAAATATAATAACCTCAGCCTACACAAGGTGGCGCAAAACATCCAGGCATTAACGGTCTCAAAGCTGTAGGTAGCCTACACATATTCGCTGGATATGGAATAATTCACCAGCAATATGCCATAAGTAGGTAGCTAGGTACTATCGTGTGTGTGTGTGATACCTCACCAAAAACAAAGCTTTGATTATTATGAACTATCAAGTGTTTTATTTTCATTGGCTTTAATAAAATATATACACTGAGGAACATCTTCCCAATATTGAGTTGCACATAATTTTGCCCTCAGAACAGCCTCAATTCGTCGGGGCTTGGACTCGACAAGGTGTCGAAAGCTTTCCACAGGGATGCTGGCCCATGTTAACTCCAATGCTTCTCACAGTTGTGTCAAGTTGGCTGGATGTCCTTTGGGTGGTGGACCTGTCTTGATGTTCAGCGTGAAAAACCAAGCAGCATTGCAGTTCTTGACACACTCAAACCGGCTCACCTGGCATCTACTACCATACCCCATTCAAAGGCACTTAAATATTTTGTCTTGCCCATACCCTCTGAATGGCACAAATACACAATCCATGTCTCAATTGTCTCAAGGCTTAAAAATCCTTCTTTAACCGGTCTCCTCCCGTTCATCTACACTGATTGAAGTGGATTTAACAAGTGACATCAATAAGGGATCATAGCTTTCACCTGGATTCACCTGGTCAATCTACTGTATGTCATGGAAAAAGCATGTTTTGTACACTGTGTAAGTGATATTGTTTATAATGACCGAATCTAAAACACATAATTGAAAAGGAAAGCGTTGCTTACCTTAACTGTTATCCGCATGCAGACGCTACTAGAGCCAGGTGGAGCTTACCTTTTGTACACAAGAAACATCATAGCTGATTGCATAACACTCATGTGACACTGGGAGTTGTTAGGTTCATGTGCAGTAGTAGGTGATGTCCTGTTATTCACTGACATGTTTCTCAAATATGATATAGACTAATCTCCCTCCACTCTCTTCAGACAAACCTAGTAGTCAAATTACATTAAAATTACCTTGCTAAATAGTAGGCCTATAATATAGCATATGGCAGGCCATCTGGGCTTTGTAATGTGAGAAGAAATACAGGACAAAGCCCAGATGTCCTGCCAACAGAAATGTTTGCAGTTTAGAAAATAAATATGAAGTAAAGCAAAATACAGTGTTGAAAAAGATCATTTTTATTAGATCCGTGCCACATACACACTAGTGAAAAATAATGCTCCTACAAAAAAAATCTACTTTTCCCCACAATATTCATAAATAAAATAACTTCAAGTACTCTCAATCAGGTACAAAAAAACTGCTCAAGATGCCACCAGTAGGCCATGACACACAGCAAGATTCAAACACAGTGGTTATTACCAGGGTTGGGGTCAAACCCATTTAAATTCCAGTCAATTTAGAAAGGAAACCAAATTCCAATTCCAAACTTTCCTCATTGAAAAGCATTGAAGAGAATTGGAATTTCAGTGTACTTCCTGAATTTAATGGAATTTAAATGGAATTGACCCCCACCCTGGTTATTACAAAATGTTATCGTGTCCTTGGGTCTGTGGCAAGGCAAATAGAGAGAAATGCTTTAATGAAAGGTACTGTGCATCGCAATGCATTCTATACTGATGATAGGATGATGATGACAGAATTGGAGGCCCACGAGGGTTGACATTTCGTATACTGGCGCACACACACACACACACACACACACAAATACAAAATCAAAGGATTGAAATAATATCCTCCACACACTTTTGAGAGGGCAGGCACTACCAAGATTGAGGAGACCACAGTGTTCGCAGAGGATAACCAGAACAGGCAGTATACATGTATTTATCACTTTAAGACTGAAATTAAACACTACAATCATTCTAAGGCATAAACAATATCAGATGTCTTGTAACAATACTATATGTGCACATCATACATATTACCATCAATACTTAATATTAACATTAATGAACAGTATATACAGATGTGCCATTGTTGCCTCACTGTCAAGGTTAAGTTAGCGATGCAAACATACATTGAAACGCAGCATTACAGTATTACCGTCATGAATCTTGTGGCGCCCTGGAGGCACAGAGCAGTGTAAACAATTCATTTTTTTCTTGGCTTTTGTTTTATGTTCGGAAAACATTCCGTAAGATTTTCTTTAAAACAGTTTTGCTGTTTTCTTCCTTTTCTTAGAAAATGAAAACCATTTTCACTGATAAATAATTGGCAAAATTAAATACATTCACTGTAATATTATATGTACAGTTAGTTGGAAAGCTTTTGTTCCCAGTTACAGCTCTGCTGGTGGTGGATTCAGTGTGGTTTCTTCTAGGAAATGGTATTGCACTTTAAAAACACCCACCCCTTTTGTCTGAAACTCTTCGGGTGCATTTCCTTGCTCTCACACAACCAGCATTGTACTGTACATCAGTGAAATCAATACGTAGAATTACGATTGTAAATTAATGAAGATTCCCTGGTTGCTGACAGAGAGTCTTGAGCCTTAGGTCTTGAAGACAGTCTTCAGACCAATACTGGCACTCTGCTTGTGAGTGTAAAGTGGTTACTGCTGGTCCCATACAGTATAGTGAGGATAAAGTAGTTAAAACAAGCCTAGTTGGTTTGTTTTAACAGTTCAGTCCATCTCTTCTCAAAAAAACTCCTCATGTTATGTCCTGCTCGCCCAATGTCCGAATTATCTTCGTTAAACTTTTCACAGTTATCAAAAACCAAGTTGACGTCGATGATAAACGTCTCAAGGTTAAAGTACCTGTAAATTGAGACGCATAGCATTTAATTATGAAATGTATGACATTGAATCCCACAGGGGAATAACAATGTGAACAAAAGCATGAAAAAGAAAGCCATAATCTTTGCAGCTGACCGAATTTTTACGTATAATACAGGTATCAGAATTAAATGAATAAGACACATTGTATGCAAATTATTTTTCATGCTAATGGTATGGTACATACTGGCTGTTAACAAGTTTCTCTCGGATAGTGGAGAAGTCCATGGGTTTCCTGATGACTTTCTTGTAGCCCGGGACAGATTTGGGGTTGACAGGGTTCAGGAAGGGCCAGGCATCCTGGTGACCCTCCAGCTCAGCCAGCAGCACCCTGTGGAGAACAAGGAGTCAACCAAGAGATGATCCTCACATTAACTACAGTATGCATGGGGATGCATCAGACACTGCAGCAACTAGTGTATGTTAGCCTGAGTGCCAGATCGGTTTGTGCTATCATGCCAACTCCGTCACTCATTGTCATGCCAAACATGTTTGGCTTGACAATGACAGCAATGGAGTTGGCAAGAGCACAAACAGATCTGGGACCAGTGTAAGCGTAGCCCATGTCACTTCCGGGGTCAATAGTATTATAATACCTGCACAAGTTCAGATCCTTATAATTGTCTCTGGCTGACGTGGCCGTCTTAGCCTTCTTCACACAGACAGGACTAGTACTGTCCTGCTTGGACTGGTTTGTGACTGGGCCCTCCTCTCCTGGGCTCTTCCTCTTTTTGGGCTCTTTGCTCCCTTTCTTTGGAGTGCTGGTGCTGGCAGCATCGTCCTCAGAGACCTCTGTGCTGGCTACGGACGATGGCATCCTGCTCCGCTTTACCTCGGTGCTTCTCTTCCCTCCTCCGGCTGCTCCCGCTCGGCTCTGCTGCTTCTTATTCTTGGGGGATTGACCGCTCGCCTGAATGACACAAAATATGCTGAGTGGAGGCATCTCGCATTCACTGAGGATCACACTTGTCGTCGTGAATTGAATGAATTGGACTTTTGCTTTTGGGTGTATTTATTCCATTTCGTTTATGAGTTTTTGTGAGTAGGATAGACCCTTGTGATAAGACGCTGCATTTTGGCTGTGGACAATAAAAGGTCATTTTGAAGGGGCACCTCGTTTTGAAGGACTTAAACATCTACGGTAAGATTTCTTACACTGGAAGCCTGAGGTTGGATAAATTCCTTAATTAAGGGGTCCCTCTCTTTTCTCTGTTCTGTGAATTGTAAGTTGGGCTACCTGCAACTGAAGGCAAAGGTTACTGTACCTTCGATATGCAAGCAGGACAAAACCAGTCACCGTCAGGTATTGTGGTGATCTTGGGTTTATGGCAGTACGTGTGGCAGCCTTTGTCACAGCCATCACAGAGTAAGAGCAGTTCCTCATTATCCCCCTTTCGACACAACTGGCAGTACTGCAGAGTAACATACCAGGATGCACTGTCAAACTGGGTGCTCTCTGAGGAGGTACTTCACACTTAGGGCAACATTTTCCCCTTGCAAAAACAACTGCGCTATGAACTAACACATTCTAAATAACACCAGGATTTCCTTAAATAAAATAACTTTCAAGTTTGACAGAAAGAAAGGACAGGCTCCTGGTAGTACAGAGCTCCGTTACTGTAACTAGAGCTATTGCATTGTGGTGGCATGCCGCATATGTATCGCACTGTAACTATACTGAACAAAAATATAAACGCAACAGGTAAAGTGTTGGTCCCATGTTTCATGAGCTGAAATAAAAGATCCCAGATATTTTCCATATGCACAAAAAGCCTATTTCTCTAAACTTTTGTGCACCAATTTGTTAACATCCCTGTTAGTGAGCATTTGATCATTTGTCAAGATAATCCATCCACCAGACAGGAGTGGCATATCAAGAAGCTGATTAAACAGCATGAACATTACACAGATGCACCTTGTGCTGGGGACAATAAAAGGCCACTCAAGTTTTGAGGGAGCATGCAATTGGCATGCTGACTGCAGGAATGTCCACCAGAGCTGTTGCCAGGTAAAAACTCATTCTGATTAGCTGGGCCTGGCTCCCAAGTGGGTGGGCCTATGCCCTCCCAGGCACACCCATGGCTGCACCCCTGCCCAGTCATGTGAAATCCATAGATTAGGGCCTAATGAATTATTTCAATTGACTGATTTCCTTATATGAACTGTAACTCAGCAAAATCTTTTAAATTGTTACATGTTGCGTTTATATTTTTGTTCAGTATAAATCTCTGGTTAAACTTAAATTCCTCCTGACGGAAATTTTTCAAGAAAGGTCGACAGATTATAATTTAATTTACAGTGCGTTAGTTTACAGTGCAGGTGACTTTGCGAGAGGAAAATGTAGCTCAAAGCCTTTTAGAGAATCTCTCGGAGACACTAACGGACAGACAGTCGTACCACTTTCATGATGGATCTCTCCCATGCGATGGACTTCTGGAGCTGCTGGACGCAGAGAGCCAGCTGGGCAGCGCTGCGGACCTCGCCCAGGGCCTTGCGCCACACCTTCATGCCAGGGGCCAGCCCCTCTTCCCCCCTGAGACAGGAAAAGGCACCATGGTCAGAGAACCAGCCACTCACATCACATAGAACAGTCAATGACAAGAACCAAGCTCACCGACCAACAGCAGTGCACAGAAAGCCACACGAGTATAAGAGTGTTTGGTTACAGCAGCCAGTTTTAAGAGACACAGTGAGGGAAAAAAGGATTTGATTCCCTGCTGATTTTGTACGTTTGCCCACTGACAAAGAAATGATCAGTCTATAATTAATAATTTATTTGAACAGTGAGAGACAGAATAACAACAAAATAATCCAGAAAAACGCATGTCAAAAATGTTATAAATTGATTTGCATTTTAATGAGGGAAATAAGTATTTGACCCCCTCTCAATCAGAAAGATTTCTGGCTCCCAGGTGTCTTTTATACAGGTAATGAGCTGAGATTAGGAGCATACTCTTAAAGGGAGTGCTCCTAATCTCAGTTTGTTACCTGTATAAAAGACACCTGTCCACAGAAGCAATCAATCAATCAGATTCCAAACTCTCCACCATGGCCAAGACCAAAGAGCTCTCCAAGGATGTCAGGGACAAGATTGTAGACCTACACAAGGCTGGAATGGGCTTCAAGACCATCGCCAAGCAGCTTGGTGAGAAGGTGACAACAGTTGGTGCGATTATTGCAAATGGAAGAAACACAAAATAACTGTCAATCTCCCTCGGCCTGGGGCTCCATGCAAGATCTCACCTCATGGAGTTGCAATGATCATGAGAACGGTGAGGAATCAGCCCAGAACTACACGGGAGGATCTTGTCAATGATCTCAAGGCAGCTGGGACCATAGTCACCAAGAAAACAATTGGTAACACACTACGCTGTGAAGGACTGAAATCCTGCAGCGTCCGCAAGGTCCCCCTGCTCAAGAAAGCACATATACAGGCCCGTCTGAAGTTTGCCAATGAACATCTGAATGATTCAGAGGAGAACTGGGTGAAAGTGTTGTGGTCAGATGAGACCAAAATGGAGCTCTTTGACATCAACTCAACTCGCTGTGTTTGGAGGAGGAGGAATGCTGCCTATGGCCCCAAGAACACCATCCCCACTGTCAAACATGGAGGTGGAAACATTATGCTGTGGGGGTGTTTTTCTGCTAAGGGGACAGGACAACTTCACCGCATCAAAGGGACGATGGACGGGGCCATGTACTGTCAAATCTTGGGTGAGAACCTCCTTCCCTCAGCCAGGGCATTGAAAATGGGTCGTGGATGGGTATTCCAGCATGACAATGACCCAAAACACACGGCCAAGGCAACAAAGTAGTGGTTCAAGAAGAAGCACATTAAAGTCATGGAGTGGCCTAGCCAGTCTCCAGACCTTAATCCCATAGACAATCTGTGGAGGGAGTTGAAGGTTTGAGTTGCCAAACGTCAGCCTCGAAACCTTAATGACTTGGAGAAGATCTGCAAAGAGGAGTGGGACAAAATCCCTCCTGAGATGTGTGCAAACCTGGTGGCCAACTACAAGAAACGTCTGACCTCTGTGATTGCCAACAAGGGTTTTGCCACCAAGTACTAAGTCATGTTTTGCAGAGGGGTCAAATACTTATTTCCCTCATTAAAATGCAAATCAATTTATAACATTTTTGACATGTGTTTTTCTGGATGTTTGTGTTGTTATTCTGTCTCTCACTGTTCAAATAAACCTACCATTAAAATTATAGACTGATCATGTCTTTGTCAGTGGGCAAACGTACAAAATCAGCAGGGGATCAAATACTTTTTTCCCTCACTGTACTGTACAAGACTCCACTTGGTGACTGACATGCCTCATAGTTACATTCAGGAGCCTGTACAGACTGCCAGACTACCATAGTACAGACTGCCATAGTGAGACAATGAGTTAACATAGAACCACGTGTTACCAGTGTGATGCACCATGCAGAGCTACAGTACAGACCGGCTTCCAAAGAGACAGATACAACCACCTACGGTGAGAGACATCACAAAGGAACCAAAACCACGACGCACACAGTAGCAACGAGAGAAGAGGAGAAAGGAACAGGCACCCAAGACACCGAAAAGAACTAAATAGGCTCCAGTGAAGCAGAGGGAAGCACAAAATAGTGTTCAAAATGGGAATTTGGATGGACCTACCCTTCACCATCAACACTATGGGATGGTGCGGGAGCAGGGACAGTGACCGTACCCAGCACATTATCCAGTTTGACCTGAACGGTGGTACTTAAGGGGCTCTTCAGGTACCTTCGCTCGATGTTCCTCTCCAGCTCGGCCAGCCGTGTTACAGCTATATCTAGGGGGTTGTTGACGTGCCGCACCAGGCTGTTGTTGCCACTGGCCCTCGCCTTCTCCCCTGTAGGCTGCTCCTCCCCGGCTGGAAACAGCTTAGTGAAGGGCTTGTGTTCATGGTAGACCAGGTCCCCTTTCTCTGACTGGGGCTCCGGATACATCCAACCCTGGGAGGAGATAGAGAGAGAGAGAAAAACAACAGTGGTGAAATCAAAAGCTTTTGTTTACGCGTGTGTTGTATGTGGAATACAGTATACTCAGCATACTCTTATACAGTATACTCTTTCTTCATTGCCGACGGGCTCCTTCTCCACTACCTACCACAGGCTCCAGTATGGATACAGTGCTATAGATGGATACTGAGTACAAGAGCTTTACTCTACCTTGACCTGAAGGCTGGCCGAGGTGACCTTCCTCTCCAGCTCCTCCACCTGCTGCAGCACAGCAATGTCCATCTCCATGGCCTGCTCCTCCACACACCAGCTCTCCACTGTCTCCTCACTCACCCCATTCTCCTCCAGCTCAGACTCGTCAATCACCACCACTGGAGAGAGTGAGGGAGGAATCAACTCAAGACCCCACAAAAATTAAACTTTTCTCTCCTAAAACTAAGTTTACTACAATTATTGTATCTTAGTATGTACTGTGAAGTTTGGGAGGGATATTTTCCAATATAGGGAGGCAGTGTTTTCATTGACATTGTATTTGGCAGGGCGAGCCCCCTGCCTAGCTCTGTAGAGAAGAGTTAATAGGCTAGAAAAAAAATCTGAACTCATCATGAGGGGCCGCAGTGGCTTGCAGGTCTGCGTACTCACATCCATACCCCACACATGCAGTCAGAGCCAGCCCTAGTATTTTGGGGGCCCTAAGTGACATTCTGTTGGGAACATTTCTGTGCCCCCCCTCTTTACAGCACAGAGAAATAAATGACGTTTTAGAATTCATTTCCTGCAATTCTACACATTTTACCATGGGCGGGGAAAATATTTAGCAATTTTCTAACTTTCTTACAAACACATTTCAAAATTGCACCTTGTGTATTCTACTATTCCAACTCTCAACGGTAAGTTGAGACCCCGACTGAGTTCCCCCCCCCCTCAAAAAAAGGGGGTCGCGGGCCATGAGCCGCGAGCCGCCAGTTGCCCATCCCTGGTCAGAATATAACTGGCATCAAAGCTACAGTGGGGAAAAAAAATATTTTGTCAGCCACCAATTGTGCATGTTCTCCCACTTAAAAAGATGAGAGAGGCCTGTAATTTTCATCATAGGTACACGTCAACTATGACAGACAAATTGAGAAAAAAAATCCAGAAAATCACATTGTAGGATTTTTTATGAATTTATTTGCAAATTATGGTGGAAAACAAGTATTTGGTCACCTACAAACAAGCAAGATTTCTGGCTCTCACAGACCTGTATCTTCTTCTTTAAGAGGCTCCTCTGTCCTTCACTCGTTACCTGTATTAATGGCACCTGTTTGATCTTGTTATCAGTATAAAAGACACCTGTCCACAACCTCAAACAGTCACACTCCAAACTCCACTATGGCCAAGACCAAAGAGCTGTCAAAGGACACCAGAAACAAAATTGTAGACCTGCACCAGGCTGGGAAGACTGAATCTGCAATAGGTAAGCAGCTTGGTTTGAAGAAATCAACTGTGGGAGCAATTATTAGGAAATGGAAGACATACAAGACCACTGATAATCTCCCTCGATCTGGGGCTCCACGCAAGATCTCACCCCGTGGGGTCAAAATGATCACAAGAACGGTGAGCAAAAATCCCAGAGCCACACGGGGGGACCTAGTGAATGACCTGCAGAGAGCTGGGACCAAAGTAACAAAGCCTACCATCAGTAACACACTACGCCGCCAGGGACTCAAATCCTGTAGTGCCAGACGTGTCCCCCTGCTTAAGCCAGTACATGTCCAGGCCCGTATGAAGTTTGCTAGAGTGCATTTGGATGATCCAGAAGAGGTTTGGGAGAATGTCATATGGTCAGATGAAACCAAAATAGAACTTTTTGGTAAAAACTCAACTCGTCGTGTTTGGAGGACAAAGAATGCTGAGTTGCATCCAAAGAACACTATACCTACTGTGAAGCATGGGGGTGGAAACATCATGCTTTGGGGCTGTTTTTCTGCAAAGGGACCAGGACGACTGATCCATGTAAAGGAAAGAATGAATGGGGCCATGTATCGTGAGATTTTGAGTGAAAACCTCCTTCCATCAGCAAGGGCATTGAAGATGAAACGTGGCTGGGTCTTTCAGCATTTCAAGCATTTCAAGGTCCTGGAGTGGCCTAGCCAGTCTCCAGATCTCAACCCCATCGAAAATCTTTGGAGGGAGTTGAAAGTCTGTGTTGCCCAGCGACAGCCCCAAAACGTCACTGCTCTAGAGGAGATCTGCATGGAGGAATGGGCCAAAATACCAGCAACAGTGTGTGAAAACCTTGTGAAGACTTACAGAAAACGTTTGACCTGTGTCATTGCCAACAAAGGGTATATAACAAAGTATTGAGAAACTTTTGTTATTGACCAAATACTTATTTTCCACCATAATTTGCAAATAAATTCATAAAAAATCCTACAATGTGATTTTCTGGATTTTCTTTCCTCATTTTGTCTGTCATAGTTGACGTGTACCTATGATGAAAATTACAGGCCTCTCTCATCTTTTTAAGTGGGAGAACTTGCACAATTGGTGGCTGACTAAATACTTTTTCCCCCCACTGTACACAATGACTATTCAAAGCTGTCAGACAGCATCATTCAATCACGCTAACATGGTGTAAATGATGGTAACCCAAAGGACTGGTGGTAAAGACCATGTTAACTCTGACTGACATGATGCATCTAAACAATCCACTCTCTCCCTGCAGTGGGTTGACATTTCCGTGTAACAAGGGGACATTTTAAACAGAGGTCATGTAGCCTACCACATCATTAAAGGTCAGATTTAAAGAGTCACAAGATATATTGGATGTCTATGGATGCGTCTGAAGTGGCACCCTATTCCCTATATAGTGCACTACTTTTGACCAGAGCCCTATGGGCCGTGGTCAAAAGTAGTGCACTATAAACTCAGTTTATTAGGTACACCATCCCGTTCACAATAATGGTTTGCTCCTATAGACAGTGAGTCATGTGGCCGTGGCTTGCTATATAAAGCAGGCAGACAGGCATCGAGGCATTCAGTTACTGTTCGATTGAACGTTAGAATGGGCAAAAATAGTGACCTAAGCGACTTTGAGTGTGGTATGATCGTCAGTGCCAGACGCACCGGTTCCAGTATCTCAGAAACGGCCGGCCTCCTGGGCTTTTCACACACGACAGCGTCTAGGGTTTACCGAGAATGGTGCGACAAACAAAAAACATTCAGTCAGCGACAGTCCTGTGGACGAAAACAGCTTGTTGATGATGAGAGGTCGAAGGAGTGGCAAGAATCGTGCAAGATAACAGGCGGGCCACAAACAGGCAAAAAACGGTGCAGTACAACAGTGGTGTGCAGAATGGCATCTCGGAACGCACAACTCGTAGGTCCTTGTCATGGATGGGCTATTGCAGCAGACGACCACACCGGTTTCCACACCTATCAGCTAAAAACAAGAAGAAGCGGCTCCAGTGGGCACGCGATCTCCAACACTGGACAATTGAGGAGTGGAAAAACATTGCCTGGTCCGACGAATCCTGGTTCCTGTTGCGTCATGCTAATGGCAGAGTCAGGACTTGGTGTAAGCAGCATGAGTCCATGGCCCCATACTGCCTGGTGTCAACGATACATGCTGGTGGCAGTGGTGTAATGGTGTGGGGAATATCCCTTGATAACAATTGAGCAACGTTTCCATGCCCCAAAGAATTCAGGCTGTTCTGGAGGCAAAGGGGGGTCCGACCTGGTACTAGATAAACTGGCCACTATAGGGAATAGGGTTCCATTTCGGACGCAAACTATGTCTTTATTATATTTTATACAGCCTCCTGAGGAGGTCTAGAGGACAAGGGGATCCACTCACCATCTCTGTTCTTGGCGCAGGCCTGGGCGATGTACTCCATGTGTTTCTGGATCTGTTTCTGCAAGGCCTTCTCTCTGATGCCTCTGCTGTGAAAGGCCTTGACCAGGCTCCTCAACTCCTCCATGTCTGCCACTCTCCACCAGCCTGACAGCATATCTACATGAACACGACCATGTCAGTAAAGGACAAACCAGAATGTGCTGACTAACGGTTAAAAGCAGCGGGTTGCCGTCCTATCGGCCATAATTTTCAGTTCATTTCCAGGCGATTATTTTCCTTATGTCAATAAAAACAGAACTAGCTATATACGTAATCAAATGTGGAAATTCATGGCAGCCACTTAAAATCCTCCTCAGCGCTTGAATGTGTCATTCTCCCATATTTCCTAGCAGCAGTGGGCAGTGTGCCATGCTTACCCTCTGGGATGGGCAGTGGGTCGGGGTAGTCCTGGGTCTTGGCCACTTCCACCACGGGGGACGGGGCAGAGGGGGGCTTCTCTCTGGCAGGGACTGGGGACTTACTCTTGCTGCTGGAGAGGCTGGCGGCTGCCAGGAAGGGGTTGCCATTACCTTCCACATGGTGGTAGACAGCGCCCAGGATGGAGGGTGGTAGAGGACTGACAGAGAAGGGCAGGGTGGGGCTCATCATGCCACCGGGCCAGCCACAGAATGGCAGACCCATCATATGGACCCCCGACTTCACCTGCTGGGAGGACGGAGGAGTTCATGAAGAAGAATGCCCAGACAGTGGTGAGCAAGAATGTTATGTAGCAGACCTTAGTTCACTGACAACTAGCACAAATGCTGTCCATAAACCTATAATAAAGCATCATAGAATCAGACTTGAGCATCAGATGTGCTCATATGAATTGGCAAAACATCAAAAGACTACCTGGCAGTAGCAATATGTCTTGGTCGTATTCCACACCATGTTTTTTTTTTTTTTAGGGGGTAGATCAGCTTAATATTGCAGATAGATTGTAACTTCCATCAATGTAATTGTCTGCATCACTTCCAATGATATATATATATATATATATATATATATATATATATATATATATATATATATATATATATATATATATATATATATATATATATATATATATATCACACACATACCTACATATACATACATACATACATACATACATACATACATACATACATACATACATACATACATACATACATGTCCATCCGGTTTGCTTCTATATGCCATATCTTTCTAACTGTGCTCTTTCACAAAAGCTCCCAACCTACATACTTATTATGGACACAGTATGCTTACATTATTAGTTATCTTGTTATTAGTTGTTGTTAGTTGTTATTAGTCCCATCCTTCAACTCCATTCACCATCTATCTCTTAACACCATCCATATAGGATTTCTATTTGCCATATATTTTAACTGTACTGTGATGTTTTACAAAAGTTCTGAACCTTTCTATTCTCATTGTTTCTACAGATTGTAAATTGAAAATGAACATTTTTGCTAAAAGTATTATTATATTATTGATCGATTGACTGACTTTTCAGATCACCCAGGAATGCTATTTGCAAGGTTAGCTCCAGGTAAATATTGCAATCCTTTAGCCATTCCTGGACCTGTGTCCAAAAACAAGCTACAAATGGACAGTACCAAAACAAATGATCTAATGATTCTGTCTCTTCGCAGCAAAATCTGAAGAGCTGGCAAGATTGTATCCCCCATATAAATAACATTCTATTGGTAGCAAGAATTGTATATAATAATTTAAATAGAAAGATTCTAAGTTTTGAATCCGGTGTCGTTTTGCGTATCAGTTCATAAACACTATGCCATCGGATCGGTACGTCAAAAATCTCTTCCCAACTATTTTGCAATCTATATAGGACGGCTGTCAATCCTTTGGTCCTTAAATAAACTTTTTTATTTATCACAGTTTTCTTTAACCAATTATGTTCTTTAATGCAAGGCCGACAGACAAGTTCCTTACTTTCTCCCCCTTCCACTTTCCTCTTCCATTTTTGCGGTAAGGCTGCAATTATTTGGTTGTAATTTTGGGTAGAGCAGACATTTCCATATGTTTTTGTTAGCTGCATGTGAGACATAACTCCACCAGTCCTACCGATGATATCATTTACGAAGATTATACCTTTTTTAAACATTTTGTCAAAAAAAATAGTATATTTGAGTTTAACCACAATATTTGTTGCATTATTTGTTCTGTCGTTTCTGGAGGATTAAATTGAAATTGCAACCAACTTTCAAATCAAATCAAATCAAATTTTATTGGTCACATGCGCCGAATACAACAGGTGCAGACATTACAGTGAAATGCTTACTTACAGCCCTTAACCAACAGTGCATTTATTTTAAACAGAAAAAGTAAGAATAAAACAACAAAAAAGTGTTGAGAAAAAAAGAGCAGAAGTAAAAATAAAGTGACAGTAGGGAGGCTATATATACAATAGAATAAAGTGACAGTAGGGAGGCTATATATACAGGGGGGTACCGTTGCATAGTCAATGTGCGGGGGCACCGGCTAGTTGAGGTAGTTGAGGTAATATGTACATGTGGGTAGTCTAGTTGAGGTAATATGTACATGTGGGTAGTCTATGGCTTGTTTTAGAAATAGTGATATTTGGGAGATGATTTCCTTTTCAAATAACTGAAAGTGAGAGGTTGTAATCTGAATAAAGGGAAAAATGCCATTCTTGAACAATGGGTAAGACAATCTTACTAATTTGCTAGAGAACCAGTTCGGATTTAAGTATAACTTTTGTATGACTGAAGCTTTTAGTGATAGGTCTAATGCTTTAATATTTAATAATTTCTGTCCTCCGAATTCATATTCATTATATAAATAGGCCCGTTTTAATTTTGTCTGGTTTGCCGTTCCAAATAAAATGGAATATTTTTTTCTCATATAATTTAAAAAACTGTTCGCTAGGCGTAGGCAAGACCATAAGCAAATAGGTAAACTGGGATAATACTAAAGAGTTAAATCAGGGTGATTTTCCCACAAATTGACAGGTATTTACCTTTCCATGGTAGCAAGATCTTATCTATTTTTGCTACATTTCTATTAAAATGTATTCCGAGTGTATCCACATCACCATCAGACCATTTTATTGGTAAACTACCGGTACATGGTAATGTAAAAATTGTATTTTTTAGTGATCAAATACGTAATATAGTACATTTGTCATAATTTGGTTGTAATCCAGAGAGGTTAGAAAATGTATCTAGATCCTCTATGAAGCTGTGGAGGGATTCAAGTTGTGGATTTAAAAGAAAACATGAATCATCAGCGTACAATGACACCTTTGTTTTTAAGCCCTGGATTTCTAATCCCTTGATATTATCGTTGGATCTGATTTTAATAGCTAACATCTCGATGGCCATAATAAATAGATATGCCGATAGTGGACAACCTTGTTTCACTCCTCTTGACAGTTTAAAACATTCTGAGAAATAGCCATTATTTACTATTTTACACATAGGGTTACTATACATGATTTTGACCCATTTTATAAGAGATTCTCCAAAATTGAAATGCTCCAGGCATTTATATATAAACCCCAGTCGTACTTTATCAAATGCCTTTTCGAAGTCTGCTATGAATATTCCACACCATGTTAACATTAATCCTAGATGATCAGAGATGGAGATAACGTGCAGTGCACCTACCTGGAGAGCTGATAAAGATAAGTTATTGATCCCGTTGGTGGGGTTGCTGGGGCTGGCTGAGGTGGTGGCTGGGGGATTAGGGGACAGGGAGGAGGGGGATTTGGGCCTGGTGGTCGAGGTGGACTGGGGGGAGAAGGTCGGAGGGGTGGTGGTGGAGCTGGTGGTGACAGAGGACTCGTCACAGGGGGAGCGGGGCAGCAGGCTGAACCAGTGGCCACTCTTCTCCGTCAGCACCCTGAACAGCTGGTCGTCGGGCTGGAGCTGTTGCTGTTGCTGCTGTAGGGGACTGGATGACATCTTCCCTGGGCTGCTGTTGCTGCTGAGGTAGGGCGGGCTGAAGAGAGCTGTGGAAGGCTCCGCTTTCACCTCCGGATACAGCGGAGAGGGAGCTGCACAGGGGCTGCTGGGTAGTGTAGTCTGAGTGGTGGGGTGGATAGGGGAGAACACTGTGGTGGGGACTTTGACAGGACTACAGCTCTGACTGTGAGGGTGGTTGTCTGAATCCGGGGACATCTTGGCCACCTCCAGGAGTTTGCTGAGTTTGGAGAAGGAGCTAGGCTTCTGGAGGAAGAGGTTGAGGGTGTGTTTGTCTGGCGTGGCCATGTCGCTGTCAGTGCTCCCCTCCAGGCTGGATGCCCCTGGCCTCCCCTCCACCTCTGGCCTCCTTTCCACCTCCTCCTCCTTCACGTGGACCAGCTCTGTGCTCCTCAGTCTCTCCCTCTCAAGCTCCTCTGCTCCTGGAAAACACACTCCTATCAATATCCACAGCATCACAGTTAACCAGACTCCCTACATAGTACATTCTACATGGCCATGTTCTTCCTGACAATACTTAAGTAATCTGAAGGCAGGTCACAGGAAGAAGAAGCTGAATTGTGTTAGCCTGAACTATAATGTCCCAACAGTGAGTAACAAGTGCGGTGCCCATATCTTATGCCAGTGTTTTGAGTTTTACCTTTGCCACTCCTTATGCCCTCCACAAAGATGCCCCCGCACTGTGGCAGCACCCAGTATCGGCGCTTGTAGCGGTCCTGGCCGAACATCATGGAGCGCAACGAGTGGGACGACTCAAACAGCTTCCGTCTGATCTGACTCTGTTGCTAGAGAGAGAAAACACAAAGTGTATCAACGCTGAGGCCTGTTCTGCCCGGAAACTGAACCTCATAAAATAAATCCCTCTGATCCCATTGGTTATCAAAATCCCTTTACCTTGGTTAATTTTTCAATCTGTTTCTCCAGCTCCTCTACACTGGCTGTCTGGTCCCCGTCATCCTGGATGGAAAGATCACATTCATTTGAATCCAGAGGGGAGGCTGACATTTACAATACACAAACAGTGACTTACACCATGTCCCAAATGGCACCCTATTGCCTATGTAGCGCACAACTATTAACCGGGGCCCATAGGGAATAGGGTGCCATTTGGGACACATCCATTGTCATTTGGTTCAGTGGATAGATCCTGTGGAAAGGTGACGGCACCAACCTCATCCTCACAGGTTTCCACTTTCTTCCCTTTCTTCCCTCGCTCCTCCTCCTCCTCCTCCTCTTCGTCATCTTCATCTCCCTGGTCCTCACTATCCTCGTCATCATCCTCGTCCTCCTCGCTGTCCCCTCCTTTCCTCTTGCGTTTGCGTCCGGGGGTGGGTGTCCCCAGGGACTGGGTCTCCTCTCCTCCCATACCGCTGTCCCTCTTCCCCGTCTTCTTGGCATGGATGGTCCTCAGCCTGGAACAAGACAACAAGCAGGGGCATATGAATGTCAAATGTTTTCCTAAGCTACTAGATAGTTTGTGTGTATGTATTGATATCTAGGCTACGTGTGCCTTTAAAAAATGGTTTTATGTAGTTCTGTTCTTGTCTATTAATGTTCGGTATTATGTCATGTTTCATGTTTTGTGTGGACCCCAGGAAGAGTAGCTGCTGCTTTTGCAACAGCTAATGGGGATCCTAATAAAATACCAAATTTGAAAAGCTTAAAACATTGAACACATTAAAATCAACACCTACTAAAAAGTTTGTCCTAATACACTTCACAAAATGAAGGAGAGGGAAAACAGACAATTCTATTACGATTGCTTTTATTTTTCACTGTACACTAGTGTATCCCATTAGTTAACACAGATCCATTATTGAATGAACACACAGCCCTCTCCTAAGTGCCCCTTGAGATGATGCAGGTACTCACTTGCGAAGCGTGCCCTCGATGACCCACTTGTCCCTTCTCAGGTTGGTCATGTGATCGATGTTCTTGTCGATTTCGCTGTAAAGAAGCACGAAGCACCGACTTCAGTCAAACTGGCTTTGATTAAAAAAATTATAATATTAACAACTGTCCAAAGTGAAGTAAGGTGAGGTAAGGCTTTGGTTGCAGTTTTACTTGAGCAACAGGGCTGTATTTCAAAGCATCGCAACTTCTGTCACATGAGTTTAACTCAGATACAGGCAGTCACTTGAAAAGGGTTTCAGGTTTGATGCAACACAATGAAACGCTCCATGTCAACACAGCTCTTTCTTTTGATATTGGTAGTAGAACATTAAAAATGCAAGTCCCAATGAATAAAACAAGACTATATCCAGCAAAACCAAAGATGAGCAAAACATGCATAAATCCGTTTAATAAATCTGTGCTCAGAATAACTTAATCATTTTTGTATGGACCCTGAACAACATAATCAACAAAGTAGTTTCCCACATGCAAGCCAAAGCACTTGATTTAACTTGACATTTAATAATTTGTCTAAATAACAGAACTGATCAGTGTTGTTATCTAGATAGCAGGCCAGACTACTGTAACTAGCGTTCAGTGTACTCTCACCTGACCACACTCTTACTGCAGGACAGCTCGTTGACAAGGAAGGCCAGGACGGAGGCCTTCTGTGTGGGTGTGTGGGCTTGGAAGGCCTTGGTCTTAAGACTGGCCGTGACCTCCCCTAGCTCTGTCTGCAGCTCCATCCCGCCACAGTGAGCCTCCATGTAGATCTGCAGTACCTCCGACACGTTGTCCTGGTTGATGCCCACGTTAGCCAGGTGGTCTCCCAGGGCTGTCTTGGTCTGGGGGGGCAGAGAGGGGGACGGGGACAGTGAAATATATTTTCTAAGGTATTTTCAAGTTTGATTGACAGGTTTAGGATAGATATGTGGATATAAGAGAGAGGGATACAGCAGAGATAGTGAGTGGCGGAACGAGGGATCGAACCGCTGCCTCCAGGGGTATCATGGTCCGAGAGCGGCAGGACTACTACTAGACCAGCCCCTGGCACGGAAGGGGCACAGTTAGAGGGGAATACATGCTTCTCTTTTCAGGGATACATTTTCCCTCAATGTCGACTGAGGCTCCATAATAGGCGACAGTCAGCTGGGTTCATTGAAGAAATAATGGAAAGCCACATAAAAGCGTGACTAAGCCCTGTAGATTAGCATAGAGAGAAATTGCTTTGGGGATGAATTATACATTTGGGGGTTCTAACTGTGGAAGCTGTATTAAGAGCTATAAACACTGATACCCTCCAAAACAGATAAGCCCCTTCATTTAGCCTCACAGAGCCAGAGATATTGATAATGCCCTACTTGTGTGTTCTGATTAGAGTAGGGCTTCTCGTCTTTAGTTCTGCAGTGCTGTGAGTGCAGCCCTCTGAGCTGTGGATACTGAATACAGTATGAAGGCAGATTGGAATATACTGTACAGCTGCTGTGTGGATGTGCCTTTTAGTGTGTCTGAATGTGGGATAAGAATGTGTGTGTATGTCTATGCTGTGATTGCTCTCACCCGGTGTCCTGGGGGCAGTCCTGGGTCACACACCACAGCAGAGAGCATACGAACCAGCAGGTCCTGGACCTGTCCCATGCTGTCTCCCAGGTTGAGCAGGCCCTCCTGCAGCACACTCAGGTTGGGAACATGGGCGTTCACGTCAAAGCCCAGCACCTTCCCAAAGCTCCGCAGGAACTGCATCACCATCAGGCAGTCAGAGAAGCTGCTTCCTGGTAGAAACAGGCCAGGAATACGGGATAACTCCGGGAGAAGCTGGGAGGGGAGGACGGAAAATATGAAATTACACATACTTACATCTAACAACGGTAGTGTGAAGTGCACCTGTTGTTATAATTTCAAAATGTAAAAAGTAGTGAATAGTGCCATTTTACAGAACATTCTTGAGACAAAACCAACTCAGTGACCTTGTGGTTAGAGGGATATTGGAAGGTTGTGAGTTCAATCCCTGGCCGAGTCATACCAAAGACTGTAAAAATGGGACCTGATGCGTCTCCGCTTCGCACTCAGCATTAAGGAGATAGATTGGGGGTAAGGCCCTGTGATAGACTAGTGTCCTGTCCAGGGGGTGTACTTGTACATCAAGCTGCCTCACGCTACAGAAACAGGAAATAGGCGGCTTCTGCCCTAGGAGACGTTCCGGCTCACACAAGCGAAGGCTTGTGCAAGGCTACTTACTTTAGAAAAAATCTTTCAATGCTGCAAATTCAAGTAGGGATAATTTTGCTTGACTCGTATGGAGTGAGGTTTAGTGAGAGCCGTATGTAGAGAGGGTTGATGTGATGTGTGATATACAGTATAGTAGAAAATGGATCCTCCTGGAGCTGGTTATCCAGGGGTTCAGTGCTCTGTCTGGTGGAAATCCTGAGTAAGTAGCACTCCGAAATCCTCTGGTCAGTGTTATGAGACAAGCAGCCACTCGATGGCAGTATTCTAACCTGTCTGTGCTCAAGTCACCTTCATGTAATCCAATATGGATTATCCTGTAATGTCATCAGTAAAATGATGCTTGTAGCAGAGATTTAGTCAGAGGCAAAGCCATGCATACATGTATTTTATGCTATAAAGCACTGGTGTAATTCATAATACAATCATCATATGTATTAAAATAACAGACAAATCAGTGATCAAATGTGGTCAACATGAACAATTTCTGGGTATGATATCAGTCTTAATACAAATTCGTCCCACATCTCCCTTTCAGCTGGAGAACTAAACTATGATCGCCTATGAATAGTGAATACCTTGTGATCTGCTAAGCACATGTCTTCATTTGGCTTCTTCAGTTCCTTGGCAATTTCCAGTTCCAGTCTTCTAAGCTCCAATTTCCGCTCCTTGTTTAACCGTTTCTTATCCTTCTTCTCCTGCTTTAAGCGCTCCCGCTCCTAGGGTCCAAATTACAGACCAAGTTAACAGTGCATGCTATCGGCACCGTTGCAGACAATCGTGTTAAGGATTATGTCATTACAATTCAGCCCAACACTAGGCCTTCCTTGCTTAGAAATTGCCGCACTTTCACAGAAGATTGCTTAGGGCCCGGTTCTCTCTTTTATTCACACTCCATATAGTTCAAAAGAAGACAAAAAAAAGAGTTGAAGGAGGAAATGCGGAGAGGAGGCAATAACCATATGCCTGCTGTAACAGTTTGAAGAAGAAGTGGTCAAGTTGTGAATCACACACCTCTGCTTTCTTACGGGCGTCCATGGCCTTCATCAGCATCATGTGCTGCCTCCGCCTCTCCCTCTCCTGACAGAACACACACACACACACACACACACACACACACGCGCGCACACACACGCACACACACACGCGCACGCACACACAGCCTCAACACAGAGGGGACACTTCATATAGACAACAAACAGCAGCTTACTATGACAACATGTAGAGAGTATAGTAGGAAAAATAGACAACAAATATAAGTATGGCCATCGTTCTGAACATTATAGCGGAGGTTCAGAGGGCAATATAATGAACAACCAAAAAGCAAAAAGGGCAAAGCAACGGGTATGAGGGCGGTGTCAACAGAAAGCGTAAGCTTGAAGTTAGAATCGGCTTCAATGTGTCTGAATATGCTGGCAAGCAAAGTGCTGGTAATTCTACAACCGTCTAAGAACTAAACAGGCAGCGTTGTATTATACTGTGTTATAAAGTTGCTATGGTTTGTCATTCTCTATTGACTGGTGAAAAAGCTAAAACAAAATACCTTCATATATCAGAACGCAAATAATACAGAAAGCAAGTTACTTCTCACAAATATAGTCATGGATTAAATTAGAGATTAGGTGAGTACTGAGGGCACTCCTGCTCAGTATAACATGGGTTTAAAGCAATGCTATATTGCCTGTCTTTGATAAGTACAGTGCCTTCGGAAAGTATTCAGACCCCTTGACTTTCTCCACATTTTGTTACGTTACAGCCTTATTCTAAAATTGATTAAATTTGTTTTTTCCCCTCATCAATCTACACACAATTCCCCATAATGACAAAGCAAAAACAGGTTTAGAAATGTTTGCTAATTTATCAATTTAAAAAATGGAAATATCACATTTACGTAAGTGATTACAGCATTGAGTCTTCTTGGGTATGACACTACAAGCTTGGCACACCTGTATTTGGTTTCTTCCATTCTTCTCTGCAGATCCTCTTCATCTCTGTCAGGTTGGATGGGAAGCGTTGCTGCACAGCTATTTTTAGGTCTCTCCAGCGCTGTTCGATCAGGTTTAAGTCTGGGCTCTAGCTGGGCCACTCAAGGACATTCAGAGACTTGTCCCAAAGCCACTGCTGCGTTGACTTGGCTGTGTGCTTAGGGTCGTTGTCCTGTTGGAAGGTGAACCTTCGCCCCAGTCTGAGGTCCTGAGCGCTCTGGAGCAGGTTTTCATCAAGGATCTCTCTGTACTTTGCTCCGTTCATCTTTGCCTCGATCCTAACTAGTCTCCCAGTCCCTGCCGCTGAAAAACATCCCCACAGCATGATGCTGCCACCACCATGCTTCACCATAGGGATGGTGCCAGGTTTCCTCCAGACGTGACGCTTGGCATTCAGGCCAAAGAGTTCCATCTTGGTTTCATCAGACCAGAGAATCTTGTTTCTCATGGTGTGAGAGTCTTTAGGTGCCTTTTGGCAAACTCCAAGCGGGCTGTCATGTGCCTTTTACGGAGGAGTGGCTTCCGTCTGGCCACTACCATAAAGGTAGAGTGCTGCAGAGATGTTTGTCCTTCTGGAAGGTTCTCCCATCTCCACAGACTAACTTTAGAGCTCTGTCAGAGTGACCATCGGGTTCTTGGTCACCTCCCTGACCAAGGCCCTTCTCCCCCGATTTATCCGTTTGGCCGGGCGGCCAGCTCTAGGAAGAGTCTTGGTGGTTCCAAACTTCTTCCATTTAAGAATGATGGAGGCCACTGTGTTCTTGAGGACCTTCAATGCTGCAGACATTTTTTGGTACCCTTCCCCAGATCTGTGCCTCGACACAATCCTGTCTCGGAGCTCTACGGACAATTCCTTTGACCTCATGGCTTGGTTTTTGCTCTGACTGTCAACTATGGGACCTTATATAGACAGGCGTGTGCCTTTCCAAATCATGTCCAATCAATTGGATTTACCACAGGTGGACTCCAATCAAGTTGTAGAAACATCTCAATGGAAACAGGATGCGCCTGTGCTCAATTTCGAGTCTCATAGCAAAGGGTCTGAATACTTATGTAAATAAGGTATTTCTGTTTTTCATTTTTTATAAATTTGCAAACATTTAAAAAACCATTTTTTCACTTTGTCATTATGGGGTATTGTGTGTAGATTGCGGAGGATTTGTTAATTTTTGTATCCATTTTAGAATAAGGCTGTAATGTAACAAAATGTGGAAAAAGTCAAGGGGTCTGAATACTTTCCGAAGGCACTGTAGGTTTGTGTGCAAAGGCAGAACTAAATTTTCAATATGGAACAACAAACACGTCAACAAAAAGATGAATGAAAATGTTTCCGTGAGGATGGTGATTTAAACTGATATCAACAAGCAGGAGAAAAGCTGGTGATGGACGGGTCTGTTTTGTCAGGTGGCAAATTGGACAACTGCAACATACACTACATTGACTTTTACAACTGGATTTCAAGCACTTACATTCACTCGAAAAACAAAAACAATGGATGTCAAGTCTTTAGGACCATGAAAGTGTGCATTGCTCCCCTTAATGCAATCTGAAAGAGTCAAGAAGTTCTTGACTATTTGCGCTGTTTTTGAGCAAATAGAGCAAGACACTTTGCTCGAAAGCCATGCAGAAGAATGCAGTATGACGGCAGCCAGTGCTACACTTTATGCATTGCTATGACAACCATATCACAACCAATATCACGATGCGGTGTTAGATGTACAAAAATAAACATACCCATACCATATCTAGTCTATGCCTCTCCAACTCCTGGTAGAAAGAGTTGGCAAAGTATTATGAAACAGAAATCACAGGCTCATATAAACCACGTCCATATAAGAAGAACCCCCCCACCCCAAGAAGAGTGACAAGCTAGGGTCATAAAAACTGAAATTAACAAAGCGACATTGAGAATTGAACAGGGAACTGTGAAGTAGTTATATAAATAAATTGCCCTTTTCCAAAAATATTCCAGTAGAATTGAAAGTGGAAATAGTCTTTGGGCATCATGTAGTGCAGGAGAGCGATGCCTACCTGGTGCTTCAAAATGACTGCCTGCTGCCTTCGCATCTCCTTCTCCTTTAAAAGGGGAAAAGATAAACATTCAAAATCCAAAACATACCCCTCATTTCCATCATTTAAAAAATGCAGCTGATACAAATGGATGAGATTTCTCTATTTTATTCGACAGGAAGTTCAAATCCCTCACTAATCTGATTGACAGACAGACATAAAGAGCCTGGGCAGGTTGGAACTAATGTGAAATGGAAATGCCATAGCCATTTCTAGACACGTGCAGGAAGCAGAGACAGAATGCACTGTCCTTTATGACACTGATTAACATGGAAAAGGTCTGCTCTGGGTGTCAAGGAGATTTCCCTAAACCCGGAGAAGCAGTCCCTTGGAGGCAATGAGGTGCAAGGAGGAGATTGGGAATCGGGAAGAGAGAGGTTGTATGACCTGAGGCAAACAGTGGGAGGAGTGGGCCACAAATTAATGGTTGATTCTTTTAACAGGACATCTAAACTAACCTTCATTCGTTTCTCAGCCTCCATTATTTTGGCATTTGCCGATTCTTCTTTCTTTTTCCTTTTAGTCTGTGCATGCAAAACAGGTCTACAGGTCATGCAACAGAACAACCGACAGATTCAACACCTCGTGCAACAGCACATGTACTATACGCCGATAGGCAGTATATAAATACAGTAGGCAGACAGAAATACACAGACAAATCCATTTGTGCTCGTGTATGATTAGGCTTAGCACTAGTTCCTACTAGAAGCTAATTGTGAATTCCTGTCAGGTGGAAGGGCTATAATGTTTCATTGTTTGATTAACTAAAATCAAGACAATTTTCACGAATAACAAACATGCAGGGCTAGACACAAAATATAGATTGTTTTGGTTCTACTAACTACACTAACTAACACTATCAAGGCAATGAGGTAACTATATGTCCAACATAGATAGAAGCAGAAAGAGGATGGTATATTTCCCATGTATCCTAAAATTCATCCAGAAATTATATTTGTAATGTTTTTCGTATATTTATTAAAACTTGTCCCACTCGCAGCATACAGTTGCTGGCAACGTCAAGCATAAAATATTGTAATCTTGTGCATTGAGATAATTATTTCCTCCCATTAACACTAAAAAGACAAACTTGTTTTAGTGCTTATAAAATACCAGCAGCCAGTCTGAATAAATTAAGCCACATTTCAATATGTAATTACAAGCAGAGAGGAATCCTGTTAAGAGCAACTTGCCAACCGTGTCAACTGAAATTTGATTTAGTAAAGCTAAAATACTTTGGAGCTTCTATTAGCGCTGTGCATGAAAAATAGCTGTTTCTCCTCCTCGTGCTAAACTGTTAGCGACTATTGTCTTAGAGATGGTATTTTGTGTCGAATCCCACCACGGTCTGAGGAGATTTTATTATTCAATGGCACTTTGTGAAAAACCAATTAAGCATTAGTCACATGAAGTAGGAGACAGAACTGAAAAAGTGCAACCACATAATTTAGAAAAGTCCTACCAACAGCAAAAAGGAATCTTTCTGTAATAACGCTTTGGACCAACCTCTAGAATCTGCTGCGCTCGGAGCTCCTTCTCCATTTGAATTTGCTGAATGCGCTTGATCTTCTCCTGGTAAAAGGATGGGGGAGATCAAATGAATTAAATCTACAGTCATGCATGTTAGAACAGGGGGCCTGTATAAGTAGTTTTATGGAGATTAAGACAGTGTAGCATCTTGAAGGTTAGCATCTTCCCTTTAGAGAAGATTTCAAAGCATTTAACTCTGCTTGGGATCTTTTCACCCTGGAAGAAAACACTCCTGAATGTCATGTGTGTTTGAAGCTTTCCAATCAAAAACACCTTGTGAACAGATGCATCCGAAAAGTGATCTTTTGTAAATTACATGACACAATGGTTGTACTATATACAACTCCTTACCTGCTGCTTTAAAATCTTCACTCGCTCCTTATGTTTCCGCTTCTCCTCAGCAGCCATGATTGCTGAGAGATAGATAGAGAGAGTGAAACAGAGAAAGAAAGAAAACATTGAGATTAGGGTTATACTGTACTTTCTGTGTTATGGTAGAGAACAGGATGGCTTTGTCACAAAAGCAGCTTTCACAGTACAACAACACTAGCGTACTGTACCTTGTTGCTTCCTGGCTTCCTTGGCGGCTCGTGCCATGGCCTGCTTTTCAAGTTTCCTCATCATCTTGATCTGGGCTGCCTGCCGAGCCATCTCTGCAACAAAAGGAGAGATTTTTAGCGTTCATAGTCCTATAGGTTACAGAAGCATTACAGAAACCTCTGTGATTTTTGCAAGAACTGAACCCACCTTGAGCTTCCAGTTTGCGTAGAAGTTTGGCGTCTGGGAAGTCGGCCTCGCCGACGTTGGGGCGTCGGCCCTTTCTGCGCCTGGAATGCGGGCCCTCGTCACCCGTCCTCTGGTGCTCAGGGTTGGGGGGACGCCCGCGCCTCCCCTCCATGGCCAGGATACGAGGAATCACCTCCTCCTCGGTCAACAAGCTCCACTGCAAACCCTTCGGCAGGAGAGGGGAGAGAGGAGAGGGGGACAGCCAGTTAGAACCTTCAATTGACTTACACTGAGGTATGACTATCCTTGATATATATACAAATGTTCCTCTTGACTAAAGAAACTACTTTCAATCTTCAATTCATACATCTATGATGTGATTGCTGCCTTTAAGTATGAATCAATTCGACATCATGGAGTTCTTCTTATTCAATTGTTGTTAATGTGCTCTATCTTGAAAACCTGACTGCTGACATGCAAAACATTTTGGGATTGTATTAACAGTGGACTAATGAACAAAATCCTAAACGATAGTGTCTGAATGAACCATCCCTTTAACTAGCTATTCCTCTGTACACTTGGCCTTGATATGACAATAGAGCAATTCAATGTTTCCTGTGAATGTAATGGTAACACATGATATACAGTACTTTAGGCTACGGATGACCCTGCTCTGTTGGTGGGAAAGAAAACGTTCAATAGATAGATTAGACAGTCACCTGGGGTCCTTCTCTGGCTTCATAGAAGTCACCGACCCTTATTTTTGCACTGAAGCTAAAATTATCACGTGTGATGTCACTTATTCCATTTCTGGACAGATACTACAAAGAAGAACATAATGAGGCTTTGGTGAGACAGACGATCAGTATTAATGCAAAGATTGTTATGTGTAAATTACAGTATCAGCAACTTTAATGGTTTTGGATGTAAATTATGTTTCTTGATCAAAATCTAGAGACAATGAAAATTGTAAACTACTCAACAATGAATATATTATTAAATAACAAATTGTATTTAATAAAATGTATATTTTATTAATATGTAATAAATATGATTAAATAATACATCTATTAGGATTGATAGAAGAGAGAAAAGAGAGGTATAGTAGAGAGGATGTTCGTGACCTGTGAGGTTTGACCTTACCTTCATGACATCAGGGTACTGCCGGATCTTCTTCCCACACGGAGCGTAGTACACCACATCTCCCTGCAGACGGCCCACCACATTACGGATACGTGTCTCTCTCTGCCACCTAACATGGAGGGAGGTTTCAGTAACTCATGTACTGGAACTCACTCACATTCATTGGTCGGAGATAGCGATACAGTGCAGGTCCCATAAATCATGTACAGCACTAATGTTTTTTAGGCAGTAAAAGACGAGAGACTAGACAAGTGCTGTATAAATTGGACTGTATTGTAGCTATGTATTGTACCTTTGAAAGGTCCATGTATGGAAACTTTAACAGTTATTTGTTTTGTGCTACCACCTTTTACAGTATATTTTATTTTACATAATAATCTGTCAGCCAGAGTTGTTAGACTCTCTTCTAGTAGCAGCCAATCCTTCAGCAGATACCTAGATGTTGTTGAGGTCAACTATCTAAACGAGCCTGCTTACAGCTGTGCCTCTGTACTGCATGGCCTGGCTGCCCTGTATGACTCCAACAGTAATCAGACACTACTGGATGGACATATGCCAAGCGGAACACCACACCAAACTTCTCTCAGTGTGTCTGGACAGCTGCCATCTCCTAACAGAAAAGGCCTAGGGAATGCGTCCCAAATGGCACCCTACTCCCTACATAGTGCACAGTGTAGGCTGCTGAGGGGAGGACGGCTTATAATAACGGCTGGAACAGAGCAAATTGAATGGCATTAAACCATGTGTTTGATGGATTTGATACCATTCCACTTATCCCGCTCCAGCCATTACCATGAGCCCGTCCTCCCCAATTAAGGTGCCACCAGCCTCCTGTGATAGTCCACTACTTTTGACCAGAGACCTATGGGCCCTGGTCAATAGTGTACTATATAGGAAATAGGGTGCCATTTGGGATGCAACCTGGGTCTTCTGCAGAGCAGGGGACTGATATATAGGGCTTGTCACCTCTCTTTCCCCTCAGAACCTGCTGATGAGAAACATCCGTGGGAGATGAAAGACACCCTGATCAGTGCTGGGTTTAGGGGGGTGATAGTGGGTTGGTGCTGGAGCTGCTAATGTTTTGTGTCTGTATTGAGACTGGATGTAGTTAACCCACGACTATCCCTGCCGCATCGCCTCATTTCCTGGCAACTCTGCCTACAATCAGGTCTGGGCTTTGGAGGGGGGGGGGGGGGGGGGGGGGGGGGGGGGGGGGGGGGGGATAGAGGAAGGGATAGAGGAAGGGAAGAAGGATGTGGCGTTGTTTACTGTACTCCCTCTAACCACCGTCTGTTGACGATGTCTCATCACTGCTCTGGAAAAAGGAACCTCACTGATTGGGGATCCACTATGATTTGGCTCCTTTGAGATGCTTTTAGTCATCACCATCCATGTTGTTTGAGGGACAGAGGAAATCAGAACACTATCATATTGTACTAGGGTTGTGTCAAAACTAACTGTGCCACCTACTGTACTGTACAGTGGATGGTACCAGTGACAGTCAGAGTAGTGTGTATTGTGTTATAGCTTACCCAAACGCTAGAGGCGTCCGCAGCTCCCTCTCATCTGTCACTCTCCTTCTCTTCCCTGATCCTGGGAGAAAGAGGGGACTCATTAGAACGGACAGATCCACTGTGACCCGAAACAAATGCAGAAACCCTGTCGTGTTGCCAGAGGTGCCCTTACTCTAAAATAAGAAAACCCTGCGTCAATTCAGCTACCCAGGGGGAAACAGTGGCTCGAAAACTCCACCCTCCATACAATTGGGCCTTCAAGAACATTTCAGACTGTTAGGTTCGATTGTTTTATTCAAAGAAACATTCACCACGGCAAAACCATAGGGTCCTTTTAACCACTTTTGCTTTTAAAAATGGCACATCAATGCAGCATTACTAATAGCTTGTCAAATTGACCATATCAAAACAGATATCAAGGAATAGAGCTAGGAATGATTATACAGGAATGGAATGAAAACTAAAAAGATTCCAGCATGCAGCATTTAGGAAAAAGAGACTCAGGCTACATCCCAAATGGAACTCTATTTCCCATTTAGTGTACTACTTTTGACCAGGACCCACAGGGCTCTGGTTAAAAGTACTGCACTACATAGGGAATAGGGTACCATTTGGGACGGGCCCTCAGACTGCAGTAATCACGTGGTCTGAGCCAGTCCAGTGTTTTTGCTGCTACAATAACAGGTTAAACATATGCCAGCCAGGGTAAACTACAGACTCAAATGCCTGCTCTGGGTCATCAAAACAATGGATGCAAACACTTTCAATCAGAGATCTCATTTTGCTCTGAGAGATTAGCTGAACAATGTTTTCCTGGTGGGGAAAAAACCTGCCTTGTTTCCCCTGAACTGGACTGGGTGATCTGACTAAGCAAATGGAAGAAGGAGATAACAGTCTGCACATTTCCTCCCAAATGGCACCCTATCCTCTATATAGTACACTACTTTTGACCAGAATAGGGTGCCATTTGGGACGTAACCCATGAGAGTAGTGCACTGGTTAGAGAGCAGAGCAGAGCTGAGAGTTCCATTGGTACCTGGTGGAGTGGAGCAGAGAGTGTAGGAGGAGGAGGGGGTGCTGTGGTAGGCCAAGGCCCCAGAGCTGGTCACTATGGCTGGGGTGGGCAGGCCACTGGCTGCCTTAAAGACCTGGAGGTTGAGCGGGGAGCAGCTGGCTGAGAGGCTGGAGGAGGTGTTGTTGAGTAGAGAAGAGGAACCTTTGGTGAGCTTCAGAGGGGTCCTCTCTGTATCCGGGTCCGTGGTGGCCTCGTTGCGGTCCTTCACGTCGTCCTCAGAGCCGTCCGAGTCGCTCTCCACATTACTCTCAGACTCTGCAGGGGACACCAGTGGGAGTGGAGGACTTGATAAGTCATATCTCAATTAACATTCATCTTGCATCAAACCACACATAGGCGTCAGCCCAAATGGCACCCTATTCCTTTTATTGTGCACTACATTCAAGTAGTGCACTTTGTAGGGAATAGGGTGCCATTTGGGACGCAAGACCCTAAAAACCACAGGCCTGTTGAAGGAAACGCTTTAGAGTATCTACTGAATCTGTATCTGACGAGGCGATTAAGCATTTAAAGTAACACCAGAATGAAGTGCTGTTCCCCCATTGCATTACATTAACGTGTTCAACTGACTAACCTGATAGGCTGTCGTCGGAATCCTCGTCATCATCTTCATCGTCATCTTCATCATCCTCTAAGGAGTCATCCGAGTCCTTGCTATTGGGGATGTCCGACTCTGTGCCCCGGAACAGCTCCACCAGAGACTGCACCAGGTGGGTCTGGGACTGGGAGACATCCTTCCCCTCGTGGAGAGCCTTGTGCTGGTCCTTGCTCTTCCCAGCTCTGTGGGCCAGGTCCGGTGAGGTAGAGGCCAGGCCTAGGGCTCCGGAGCTGTGCTCCTTGGTCCCAGTGCTCAGGTTGACAGGCATGGAGAAGGATGGGCTAGTGGCAGCCAGAAGAGACTTGTTGTGGGTGCTCTGACTGATGCCGCGAGGCTTGGTGATGAGGGCTAGGGGGGCATCCTGCACCGTGCTATGGATCACCCCATTGGGGTGGGGGCCCAGGAAGGAGGTGGCCAGGAACAGGTTGGAGTTATTGGTGTGTGGAGAAGGGAGCGTGTGACTGCTCAGGGTCTCTGGAGACAGTTTGGGCGGTGGTAGTGACGAAGATGATGAGTCAGCCATTTTATTTTTCTTCTGGCTCTTGAACAGATCCTGATGGGTCAGTGGCAGAGGGAAGGCATGTTTGAAGTGCTCTTGGGAGAGGAAGGGCTAAAGGAGAGATGAAGAATAGAATGGAAGTAATTATACGGGACGTCAGTTATTTCCATTAATGCAGATTGTGAATGGAGGAGGTTGTAATAAGGAATGCACTTGTATTATTGCTCAGTGAGAATGACAATGAAGTATATTCAAAGCAAGTCAGTGTCGAAAAAGGTATACAAAGAACACAAAGCTGTTTGGCACAATCCTTGCTAATTTGTTCTGTTCAGTTTTCTGGGCTTAGCTGTCAACTTCCTTTTTTGAGATACCTCTACTAAACTCCAGCTGTACTAAAATCCCGTTGCAAAGGTCTTGTTATAGATTGACACGCTATCACCACTGTTCAGATTAACAATAATAATTGAATCCTTTGAAAAAGGACGGTTTTTCCATTTTGATAACAACGGGATAGCAACGGGCTTCCTAAAGCATTACTGAGTTAATTGCGTGTCAGCTTTAGTGAAGTATTTCCAATAAAGCTAACTGCATTGTCACTTTCAGTCGTGTACAAGGCGAGCCGACATGAAACACAATCAAACTGCTGATAACAGTGCTTAGACGTTTCATTTCCTGTGGAGAGGAACCCAGCTGACCTTTCCAAATCTGCACGTCAGAAACAATGATAGTCAAAAAGAAATGGGAGATATTAAATATCCATATCCGAAATTCTAAGGCGTGTTCGGCAAAAAAAGTATGTCAGCATTAAGACTTCATTCAAATAGTCTTCTTTTAATGAGTGGAAAACAGACCATTACACACACGTACAAAACAATGAAAAGGCAAATAATTTGCATACAGCAGAACACCAGACTCACCTGTTTCAATTTAAAGTTGTTGATGTGTAACAAGGTTTCATCCAAGAAGGTTCTGCCGCCCGCCTTCATACTGTCAGACAGGGTGGGGGGTTTGGGGGAGGCCGTTCGATATTTGGGTTTGTGTGAGGGCGAGAGGGTGGGTGGTTTGGGGGAGGAAGACAGAGAGGGAGGCTTGGACGAGGTGGACAGAGACAAGGGCTTAGGAGAGGAACTGAGGGGCTTATGTGAGGAGCAAAGGGAGAGGGGCTTGGGAGAGGAAGAGACCGCGTTGGGTTTGGGTGAAGCAGAAAGAGACAAGGGTTTGGGTGAGGAGGAGAGGGAGAAGGGTCTGGTGGGTTGAGGAGAAGATGAGGCCTCCCTGTGTGGTTGTGTGACCAGAGCCAAAGGTTTAGTACTGGCCCGCCCTGTGGCCTGGATCACACTGGTATGTTGCTTCAGTTCTTCCTCCCTGCTCCTGGACCTCTGGAAGACTAGGGCCATGGACTGAGGCAGCGCTGGGGGCTGTTGTGAGGGCTGGAGCGGGTAGTGTAGAGAGTGGAGAAAGGCCTCGTCTGGATGTTTCTGCAGCAGACCAGTCCGGCTGTCCCAAGCATCCCGAGCCTTCTCGCCTTCAGCGGCACGGGGTCTCTTCTTCTTGCTGTCGGCAGGGCTCTGTGTCAGGCCCTGAGAGAGAGAAGAGGGGGAGGAGTAGGAGAGATGAGGACAGTGCCATGTCAGCTCTGACTCACCCAGCCCACAACGACAGCCCTGATGGGCAGCAAGGTCGGACACCCAGCGCGCCACCCACCATTGGAGCTGCCTTTGACATTTAACTGAAATTCAAATTCATTCATTAAAATAATTTGATTATAGAGAGCATCACGGTGTGCTTAGAACAAAGAGGAAAGTAGAACAATTTCAAAAGACAAACCATACAGACATTTGATGTAAAAATAGTGTACGCATGAGTCCAGATATGGCTACTAAGTTCTAACAAGCCAACACGGACAGTTCGACCGTACCTTAAGTCTGAAAGTTAACGTGACAGTGAAACACACCTTAATCGTCCTCTTTACGCTCTCCTTCGCAGAGTTAGAATCATCGCTGTCGTTGCTCTGATCGTCGTCGTCTAGGTCATCTGAGTCACTGCTGTTCAACCCTTCGCTGGAGATATCAGAGGAGGACCCTGATTCGCTGTCACTGTTGCTGGACGACTCCAGCGGTTTCTTGCCGAGTTCCTTTAACGGGGAACAGTGATGGAGTCATTTCAGTCAATAGGGTAGCATAATACCATAGCAAACATCTCAGATGTCTCAATCCAACAAACTCATATCAGCTGCAGGGAGTCCAACTCAGTTCACCCATAAACCCACTGTAGCGCACGATCGATTGTCCCAAAAATGTCTGTCTAGATCGCATTCACCCTTGTGGGATACTAACACTGCCAGATATGTTTACCACAACCTAGTCCTTTTTTGGACATGTTTTTCCTGAGTAAGCCCTAATTATTATTAGTTGCCAGATTTGCGTTTGGTGTTTCCTACTAACTTTCTCTTTAGTTTTCTCCTTCACTTGGTTCATGTCCTGGTGGCTCTTGCGGATCTTGCCACTGCCGTTGTTGGTGCCTTTCAGTTTCTCTGTGTTCCCCTGTGTTGAGAACATAGTGGCGGTGGTGGAGCTTCCCCCGGACACAGTGGAGACACTGCTGCCATTCACTGCTCCATTCACTCCTATGGGCAGGACAAAACACACTGTTAGATAACTATGCATTAGGAACAACCATTTTAGTACAGTGAGCATGAGGAGGAAAATAATGGAGAGGACAAGAGAGTTCTGTAAAATGATGAGTTATCAGAAATTGCCAAAGCACTTACGAATAGGAAAAATCTCATTATATTAGTGAGAGGATCTCCCGGTTAACATATTCAGTCGTGAGACACCCGGCACCTGCTTACAACTGAATTATGCATTTACAAGGTCTTCCTATTGCCTCCAAGGTCAATTAAACATATTTGATATTGTACCTGTGCCCATAAGGACATCATTCTCTTTTATGGGGAAAAGTTCCTTGCTTCATTAAATTGCTTGCAGAGTAGGGAAAACATATGGCAGCAGTGTGTGTGTGTGTATGTGAGTGTGAGAACGTGAGTGAGTCTGTCTTTCTGTCCGTCTACCTTTGGCAGTGGCTCGTCCGTTCTTGCTGGGGGTGTGGGCCTGGAAGGGGCTGGGGTCGTGGTTCTGCTGGAGTTGTGGTAGGAACATGGGCGGGAGCCCCAGGAGATGGGGGAAGAAGGCTGCAGCTCCACGCCCCTGAGCCTCAGCTGCCCGCCACCATTCTGGGGTGTAGAGGGAGAGGGGAGAGAATCCATGCAGGCTGATTTCACAGTTATCTATGATGACACACTGTTTCAGACAGTCAGGGTTTCTGCTGTTCAACCTTTCTGTTTCTCTTTGAACAGAGATCTCAGCAGATGACCATTGGATTCCACTGACTGATTTCATCCCCTTTTATTGTAAACATGTTATGAATTTGTAAATTAAAAACAGACTATATGAGCTCATTCCAGAGGATGGCTCCACATTTGGATATTTCACAGCTGCAAAAACACAGCCTCGCAGAAACTCTCTTTCCCGTTAAAATGGCTAAAAGCAATTCAGAATGTTTGTTTCCTTCCTTCCTTCCTTCCTTCCTTCCCGCTTGATGAAGATGAAAACGACACTCCTGATTCATATGATTCTAGACTAGTACAACTAAATTAAATGTTTTTTTGTTAAGAACATTACAATGTCTAAAAAGTATGGTTTCATATTCACAAGCTCCGTATACTGTCTACTGTTCCTGAAGGCTAACCAAGACAATTTTCCTCTGAGTATGACAGCAAAAAAATCATGTAACGCCACAAAACATTTAACTTCAAAAGTGTGATAGTGTCCAATATTTTTTTCTCTGAGGTCAAGGTGGTCCTATGAACCTTCCCAATCTATAAACGTCACAGTCTGAATGCTGCCTATTGAACTGATGGACGATACCATAAAGGTGATGCATGCTAGCTGGGCTCTCTGTGGGAGTTGGCTGGGGCTAACCATACATTCTGGGAGCTCCCCGAAGGCAGAATGAATTACTGTGTTTGTGTACCAAAATGGGACCCTATTCCCTATGTAGTGCACTATTTCTTTCCGAATGGGCCCTGGTCAAAAGTAGTGCACTATATAAGGAATAGGGTCTTATATTTGGGATTCACAGTGTGAGGTACTGATGCATTTACAGCTTGTAAAATCCCTAACTAAACCACTGATTACTAGATTTAAACTTAGGATAGTGTATCTATTTTAGAAAGGATTGTACTCAATGCTACCCTACCTGGAAAGGCTCCCATACCTGGAAAGGCTCCTAGCTGGGAGTGAGCAGCCAAGACAGCAGACATCCCCAAGGACCCCAGGCCTCCAAACTCAGAGTGCCCTGAGCTGGTAGTGTACAGACCAAACGCTGGGTGGTTGGTGATGGGAAAGGCACTTGAGACTGTAGACATGTTGAAATGATGATCGCCCGCCGCCCGGAATAAGTCTCCTAGACGAGAAGGAAGTAGGAAGACGACAAATTGAAGTACGCGTACGATTTCAATAAAATATACATTAGCCATGTAGGTGAAATACCACAGCTAAATAATGAATCCGTATGATTGTTAATGTTTAATCTCGTGATGAAGTCTCCTTAAGGATCTGTTAGAACATCCTCTGGTTGAAAGAGAGAATGTTTTATGTATTATCAATACAGACGCTGGTTAGTGGGTGTAAAGGAAAAAGACTCCAACGGATTCTGCTTGATCTGTTCAAACATGCTTTAGCAAATATGAGACATGGTTGTAAGAGGCTGTTGGGATTCTATTCAGAGAGAGATCATCATGCCTGGTGCTATTGCTAGTGTTTGAATACGACAATAGCAATAAACAAAAATTGCATCATTAACATTTTGCAGAATCTTGCCACTGCATATGGTTTGGTGGGTGAAAAAACTACAAGGTAGGCCTATTTGCAAGGATGTTTGGGGTTTTCCTGTATTTTGAAATTGGCGCAGGACATTTGGACAGCTGATAATGCAATCCCAGGTTTCCTCCTCCATGCACCTGACAGATCACTCCTGTTTCTCCACTACTCTCTGAAGGCTGACCAAACAGAGATTTTGTGCTTAGAGTGCATCAGTGTGAATGGGACATTTTGGAGCATTAGAGTGCTTCTTTCTGATCACTACTTCCCAGGACTCCCGGGAAAACAGTGGCAATTGTTACTGAGTGGACTATCCTAGCAAAAAAAACTAAATGAAATTAATTCAATATTCACAACAGTCTATGTCCGTGTTGGCGAGACGAGCCACGTTGTCCTCTCTCGCAGTCAGATAGACTAGAGAGTACCGAAGTACCATATTTAATGGAAACTCAATTAGCGCCACAGACATGCAAAGAAGCTTGCGCCTGCTGTTCAAACAGGCAGTACCATGTGCCAGGTGATGGGCATGAATCAAAAAGATGACTGAACACATTTCCTCATAAAATTACTAAATCCCTCAAAGAAATAAAACTGTCAACGTACATCCTAAAATACAATTAAGTCAATGTATTATTATAATAATATTAGTCTGTTTATTTTCACTAGGTATAATGACATACGGATGAAGAATAAACAAAAAAAGCTCAACTCTTTATATTAAAATGAATATAAAAGAGTTGAAAATAAATATAAAGAGCTGCTGTAAAAATCCCGCCAGGATATAACGTGGGGTTCTTGTAATGCTCCATTACTGATCCCTCTTCTCACTTTATGCATTCTACTTCGATCTATATTGACGCATTCATGGTCTGACACTGGGTTTGTGACTGGTCTATAAACCCACCTTGTGCACTAGCTCTTCCAAACAGCTCGCTTACAATTTACAGCATGTGATTTCAGCTTTCCCATTTTTCAAAAAAACATTCACACACAACTATACAAATGAAAGTGCGTAATGTCTACATTATCTGCAGGTAATTCCTGTCATTTCTGTCATTTTATTTCCCAGACATTTTGGTATTAAGAAAGTAACTGATGTAGGCCTAAAATATGTAGAGATATGTTAGTTAGGCATACACACAAGTTTGCCATGGAAATGCTAAATATTAAGTGAGTTAATTTCCTTGTCGTCAATTCAAATCAAACAACATATACATTTTAATTGCATCTGAGACCTTAAAAGAACTGTACCGATTAATTATCTTCTTATCATCCATTTCACTGCCAGATAAAGCACTCTTTATTTCAGATTTCAATCAAGCCCGTCAGTGGAACAATGTATGAGCTTAAAGACAAATTTTCCAATCCATTATCGATTCAAAGCACTATGAAATGAAACACCTTTTCCCCCATTTCAACCTAAACAGGTTAGTTAGTAATCTCTGAAGCCGATTGAGAATTTGTATCTAAAAATTGCATCGCAACAACCCGAAAAGTACTGCGTGAGATAACTGTAATTTAATGAATTAATACCATAAGTATAGCATGCAAGTGTAATTCAATCACTTAGAAAGTGTGACCAAAACAGGAGATGTAATATCTTCACTATGCTTTCCACCGGGGGAGGGGATGAGAAATCACTCAAAATAACTCAATTTGCTTTATTCTCATAACCGCAATGTGACTTCAGAGGTGCCACTATGCTTTCGACATTTAATTCCAGCTTTACGTCCAAAATAGCTTGTTTGGAGGAATCTCTAATGACTTCTTCATTGTAACAGCATGAGAAAAACACACACATTTTTGGCAATTCTTATCATGAAAGAAAGAGAGAAAAATCACAAATCACAGTTTGTGATAAATTTGCATTTTATTTTCTGGTCAGGATAATCTGACAGTTTATGCATCACTGCTGCTCGCTGCATAATGGCTTTGACCACAATTAGTATTCAGAGAAAACATATTAAAGGCAGCGGCAGCAGCACTCTCTGGGTGGCTGACAGACCCGTCACATTCTGACTAAACTGGAGTTAAAGGTTGTAAAGAGAAATCCAAGAGGGTGCACAACATTCTTTAACAGAGAGGGTTTTGAATTGTTGGCATTCATTAATGCAACAGATTATTTTTTTTCTTCTACCCACAGTCAGGAAATAAAAAGTGGAAGACGATGCTTTTCTTAATGATCCCTCATAATTAACACTCAGGCATGCTCTCTCCTTGTTTCATTTCCAGTCGGAAAATAATAAAATACGACGAGCTAGAGGGGAATAAAGCATCACAAATATTTGCATTATGTTTATGTTTGCAGCCAGTGTGTTTGCATGTAACGTGATTAATCTTTGCATCAGTGTGCGACAGAGAGAGTCTGTACGTACCACAGGTGGTGAGAGGGGAGCCCAGGGTGGCAGGGCTGGGGGTGAGGCTGCACTTGGAGGAGGGCGTCTTGGCCGAGGCAGGGGCTGGGGAGTAGCCGGCGGAGGAGACAGTGGAGGAGGTGATGTGCAGGGAAGACGGGGCTGACGATGGGGAGGCCAGCCGCTCTCCAGACTCCATATCTGTCAAACACAATCCAATCAACACACTTGTAAAAGGCAAGGGAAGAAAAGAGTAAGGGGGAAAAAACAGGCACTGCCACCACACACCCCACTGAGACTCCCGCCCTCGCACAAGTGAATTACCCCCTGAACAATATCTCTTCTTAGCAAAGGCCACTGGCCAGAGAATCTCCTAAACGAACCCACTGAGGCAACAGGGAAAATATGGAGAAGTATTTTATCACATATTATGGACATACACACTACGTGTACGTGCGCCCGCACACACACAGGAGAGAGAGAGAGAGAGAGAGAGAGAGAGAGAGAGAGAGAGAGAGAGAGAGAGAGAGAGAGAGAGAGAGAGAGAGAGAGAGAGAGAGAGAGAGAGAGAGAGAGAGAGAGAGAAGAGAGAGAGAGAGAGAGAGAGAGAGAGAGAGAGAGAGAGAGAGAGAGAGAGAGAGAGGAGAGAGAGAGAGAGAGAGAGAGAGAGAGAGAGAGAGAGAGAGAGAGAGAGAGACGAGGAGAGAGGAGAGAGAGAGAGAGAGAGAGAGAGAGAGAGAGAGGAGAGAGAGAGTGAGGACCCTCTTGGGTTTACAGGAGACAAGACTTGATTGTTAACGAACATTTTAAAGCTTTACCATGGACAGTTTTCACAGGAATAATTGAAATCATTCACAGCTCACAATGCAGCAGACTTTTTTCTAATATCTACAGTTAAAACACTGATGGTGGCTCCATTCCAAATCTTCTCCTACAGTTAGATTTGCAGAGAGCTATCATTAATCCATCTCTACCATTCTCTATGTTGACACAGACCACAGTAGCTCTGCCCATCATCCAAATGAAGACGTAGACAGAGATTCTTTAGATGTAATCTTTCCTGATTTCATCACCCCCCTATATCTCCCAGCTTGTAGATTATTTATGCCACTTCTCTTAATTGTGTTTCACAAAAGACCACATCAGAAAATCCCCTTTTAACACAGGCTTCCAGATTGTGCTTTTGCAGTCTTAGCTTCTTTGTTATTGTCTCATGAACCCTTTCTAAATCTCCCCGGTGACTGTCCTCTGCAGCGGAGGCAGCTAGGCCTGCTGGTGATTCAATCTGGGAGACAAAGCTATCCGCTGAATATCAAGTAACGTCCCTCATCGCCTCCACCGCACCGACAACACTGATGAGACGACGCAAATGACATGAAAGCTACAGCCGTGCGCCACTGGGAAGACCACGCTGCAGTGTGCGTGTGTCCATATTCTAATCGAAAGTCTTAATCATAAAGAAACAATCTAGCCTACCTATTCTTTAAGATAGTATTATTTATTCCTGAATTTCATGAAGATTGAACAAACCAACAAACACATTTTAATATAACTGGGCAGAAGGTAGGCTAAATAATCAAGATCAAATATGAAATATTAATGCTCTGAATGAGAAAATATTAGATTTAAATAGAAGTGTGACTTACACATTTAACTCACACACACACACTTCATCTTTCATAAATGTCTGCCCACTTCTCCATTATTTTGTGAAATGTTGCAGAAATGATTTCCTCTTGGGCAATAATCATTTGTGCTGCACAAGACAACGGACGTGTGTCTCAGGGGCTTCACTCTGTCAACAGAAAAATAATCACAGAAACAGGTGTTTCCTTAAACAATCCCGCAAACCCCATTACTAACTAAACATAACATTCGAGGGAATTGAAAACAAAATATGAGAAACAGCCTAATGCAGGACAGCATTTTCTGCATTTAAGAGGCCAATCCTTCCTTAATGATCAGATATTAGAATGGGTTTAGCGGTAGCATTAGCTTGATTTTATAGGTGATTCATGTGTATGGCACAGGGGTGCTGGTATTGCGGCTGCTATAGAACCACCTCAACGTGAGCAGTTATATTAATTTGACTTGGGAGTGTGTACGTGCAACCCATCTTGAGCCCCTGACAGCATGCGAGACACACATTCCTAACAGCAGGCTGCAGATCCCATAGAAGCAGCCATCTATGCTAATGTACAGGAGATGATTTATAGGAGAAATGTCTCTGCCTGAATCAAAGTCACGTTCTGCAGATATCACCCCTCGCACAATGCAGCTGCCTGCCTGGAGTGCCTGCCATGCTGCAAATAAAAAGTAATGCCCCTTCCTTCAGACAATTTGATGTGCTTGTAAACAGACTCATCGTTTTTCTTCAGGAAAACAAGGTGCAAATCTTGCACACCTCCAAATGCCACTGATCATTGAAATGCCATAAGATCATTAGGCCTGGTGTTTACAGTGGGAAATGCCATGTCTATGCTCCCTGTGACCGTGGGTGTGTGTGTGTACGTGTGTTTTCTTCCTTTCCTCCCGATGTAGCCAGGTTGGTCGGTGTGTGTGTCAGTGCGTAGTTCCTTTTATTATCCGCCACACCAGCGTAACAGATGGCCGATGCTAACAGTGATAATCCCGCAAGAGTCATCAGCATGGATCAGCAGTATTCAGACTGCCGACGGATTGAGCGACAGACACAATGTCTTCTCCGGCTAATGGAAGGTGCAAGGCTGCTAGAGATCTCGAGGAGGAGAGAGGAAGCGTAGAATACAGAATGCCTTGACCCCATTCAAAGTCAGCTAGACAGCTGCTGCATGCTACCTCTCTACACTACTAGTCTCTCACTGACTGCTCTCACCATGAACTCTTGATTACGTCTCAAGTGGCACCCTATTACGGCTGAAGTGGCACCCTATTTCCTATGCAGAGCACTACTTTTGACCAGGGCCCTGGTCAAGAGTAGTACGCTATATAGAGAATAGGGTGCCATTTTGGACAAACGCTGTCTGTTTGCTGTATGTCTGTTCCACTCTAATTACAGCCCTACTATCTGTCACACCTCAAACTAACACTTTACACACATATATAAATGAATAGGTGAAATAAACAATATGTAATGGAGAAATAGGCCTAACACGCCTGCCCATTAATATGGCAAATGATAACCGTGGTCCGTGGATGCATTGCATTCATTCTGTCTGACCCTAACAGTGTAATGATTAGCTGCAGCCCCAGACATTGTTTTGCGCGACTCCTGAAGCGTGAGCAGTGTCTTGCCCTGGCGCTGTGCATGGTTGCCAGGTGACACTGGCAGCTTCTTTTTACCTACACAAATCACCAGTGGTGTCCACCGCGCCCGCTAAAAAACTATTAAGGAGGCCTTTGCTACACTGGACAAATAGCTGGGCCACTTGGTTTAGCCAGCGTGATTTGCGGCACGGAGGGATGGAAGGGGATGTAAACAGGCAGAAGAGGATGAACCAACCTGCTCAGTGGCTGACAGTGCCAGAGAAAATAAAAAAAATGTACAAACACTTTCACCACCCACCTCACTCCCAATCCCCTGAGTTCACCCAGCGGAAATGGAGGGCCCAAACGATTTTTTTGTTGTTGTATGTCTGTCTGCCTGTGAGGAGAGGAGCTCCCCGTGGGGGCTGGTTAACACAGCGGCGGCGGAAGAGGTTCGAAAATGGAAAGTGTCTGAGATCAGCATGGCTGGGGCTGGGTGCATCCGCAGTTCAGCTGAAAATGCCAGGAAAGCTCCCCAGAGCATCAAACAGCATGGCAGAGACTCTCTCTCTCATATACAGTGTGTATATATATATATATATACACATATATATATATATATATATATACATATACACACACACAGTGGGGAGAACAAGTATTTGATACACTGCCGATTTTGCAGGTTTTCCATGTAGAGGTCTGTAATTTTTATCATAGGTACACTTCAACTGTGAGAGACGGAATCTAAAACAAAAATCCAGAAAATCACATTGTATGATTTTTAAGTAATTAATTTGCATTTTATTGCATGACATAAGTATTTGATCACCTACCAACCAGTAAGAATTCCGGCTCTCACAGACCTGTTAGTTTTTCTTTAAGAAGCCCTCCTGTTCTCCACTCATTACCTGTATTAACTGCACCTGTTTGAACTCATTACCTGTATAAAAGACACCTGTCCACACACTCAATCATGACATAAGTATTTGATACATCAGAAAAGCAGAACTTAATATTTGGTACAGAAACCTTTGTTTGCAATTACAGAGATCATATGTTTCCTGTAGGTCTTGACCAGGTTTGCACACACTGCAGCAGGGATTTTGGCCCACTCCTCCATACAGACCTACTCCAGATCCTTCAGGTTTCGGGGCTGTCGCTGGGCAATACCGACTTTCAGCTCCCTCCAAAGATTTTATATTGGGTTCAGGTCTGGAGACTGGCTAGGCCACTCCAGGACCTTGAGATGCTTCTTACGGAGCCACTCCTTAGTTGCCCTGGCTGTGTGTTTCGGGTCGTTGTCATGCTGGAAGAGCCAGCCACGACCCATCTTCAATGCTCTTACTGAGGGAAGGAGGTTGTTGGCCAAGATCTCGCGATACATGGCCCCATCCATCCTCCCCTCAATACGGTGCAGTCGTCCTGTCCCCTTTGCAGAAAAGCATCCCCAAAGAATGATGTTTCCACCTCCATGCTTCACGGTTGGGATGGTGTTCTTGGGGTTGTACTCATCCTTCTTCTTCCTCCAAACACAGCGAGTGGAGTTTAGACCAAAAAGCTCTATTTTTGTCTCATCAGACCACATGACCTTCTCCCATTCCTCCTCTGGATCATCCAGATGGTCATTGGCAAACTTCAGACGGGCCTGGACATGCGCTGGCTTGAGCAGGGGGACCTTGCGTGCGCTGCAGGATTTTAATCCATGACGGCGTAGTGTGATACTAATGGTTTTCTTTGAGACTGTGGTCCCAGCTCTCTTCAGGTCATTGACCAGGTCCTGCCGTGTAGTTCTGGGCTGATCCCTCACCTTCCTCATGATCATTGATGCCCCACGAGGTGAGATCTTGCATGGAGCCCCAGACCGAGGGTGATTGACCGTCATCTTGAACTTCTTCCATTTTCTAATAATTGCGCCAACAGTTGTTGCCTTCTCACCAAGCTGCTTGCCTATTGTCCTGTAGCCCATCCCAGCCTTGTGCAGGTCTACAATTTTATCCCTGATGTCCTTACACAGCTCTCTGGTCTTGGCCATTGTGGAGAGGTTGGAGTCTGTTTGATTGAGTGTGTGGACAGGTGTCTTTTATACAGGTAATGAGTTCAAACAGGTGCAGTTAATACAGGTAATGAGTGGAGAACAGGAGGGCTTCTTAAAGAAAAACTAACAGGTCGGTGAGAGACGGAATTCTTACTGGTTGGTAGGTGATCAAATACTTATGTCATGCAATAAAATGCAAAATAATTACTTAAAAATCATACAATGTGTTTTTCTGGATTTTTGTTTTAGATTCCGTCTCTCACAGTTGAAGTGTACCTATGATAAAAATTACAGACCTCTACATGCTTTGTAAGTAGGAAAACCTGCAAAATCGGCAGTGTATCAAATACTTGTTCTCCCCACTGTATATATATTTTGGTGATGAGGTCATAGACCGTGAGAACATGTAACTGAAGAAAGTGGAAAGACGGCATGTTGTACTGGGAATGTTCCAATGCTTTAGCACAAGGCAGTCAAGTCTGGTTTACCATTAATCTCAGGCAGTGTGCTTGTAGTAGGTGCCTTGTTTACACCACATGCTGCGAGACAAAGAAAACCATGTGTTCCTTTGGGTTTTGTTCAAAGATGCAGGCTATGCTGTTTGTAATGACAGGGAAGTTGCATTACACTTGGTACTATTTATAAGAAAATAAGTCAAAATGTATGAAAGTGTTAGCCAGTTTATTTCCTATTGGACGTCAAGCCCTGCATTACTCAGAAGTGAAAGTTAGTACAACAAGTTAGTACAATTGAAGTATGGGTGGCAGATAGCAGCGCAGTTCAAATGGACAGCATCCTTCAGCCTTTCAGACCACTTTGGCATTGCTACTGGGGGTGTCCCTCCCCTGCTGCCCTGATCCAACAAAACACCTCTTCCAGTACAACCCCCTCTGTCTGTCTGTCTGTCTGTCTGTCTGCCACAGCTAGGCTACATGACGATTAGTCCTTTACAGCCCAAGCTGTAATCACATATTTGACCTAGTATGCAAGGGCACACGTATCATCCCACTCCACACGGCAGATCCATCTGTGTTCATAACAACGGGATAATAATCAATTTTTGTTCATAAGAATGACCCACAAAACACAAAAGGCAGGGCGTTCGGTCATCATCATTCCTCCGGGCGCTTACATCTTTTAGGAGAGGAGACCTTCACGCCAAAAAGTCATTCTGTACGCGTCGACTGCCGAAAAAAACATAATCGAACGCTACTGTGAATAAATGATGAGGAGGTGGTTTGGGAGGCAAATTAACTCTGATAAATGTGGAAGTTTAGTGTGACAATTGTTGAAAGAAACACATATGTCCATCGCGGCGGCGTTAGCGAGCTAGCAGAGTTCTGAGTGCAGCGGAGCTAGCGGAGGCAGATCCATTTGGAGTGATCCAGGGGCGGAAAGTACAGAACGCAGGGGCCTGTAAACAAGAATCCCACATATTCCATGCAGACTGACATCCATCACACAACACATTCCTGGGCCGTCAACACCAAGCCATCAAATATGGATCCCTGGCCCTGCACATTTTATTATACACAGACAGAGAGGGAGAAAGAGAGGAAGGAGGAAGGCAGGCGTTCAGTCGATCTGCTGTTGCTAGCCTTTGAGGCAGGTTGACACGAGACTAAGTAGACCAATAGGCTGAGTCTCAGGTTGGTGCCTACAAAACACACTTACGAAGGGGCCCCATTTGAAGAGCACTAATATGCACCGGTGCTAGAGTCAAAGAAGACCATACTATTCCCAATACTTGTGGCAGCATTACTTTCAAAACGTCGAATTCTGTGATGAAAAATGCCATACCAGATATGTGAGGCGTTACAATGGATTTTGACAATTGCACTACTGCTTCTTCACTACAGACCCGGGTAGCCGACCGGGAGACCCATGAGGCGGCGCACAATTGGCCCAGCGTCGTCCGGGTTAGAGGAGGGTTTGGCTGGCCGGGATGTCTTTGTCCCATCATGCTCTAGTGACTCCTTGTTGCAGGCCGGGCGACTATTTACCAGCTGTACTGTCATTCTCCGAGAAGCAGGGGGTTTTGGTTTGGGGAATGTCTGTTGACACGGCAGGAGTTGAGGGATGTATAAAAAAAAAATCCTACCATCAGCGCCGTCTTTCTGCCACTGTAGGTCTGGGCTGAGGTCGTCTTTCTGCCACTGTAGGTCTGGGCTGAGGCCGTCTTTCTGCCACTGTAGGTCTGGGCTGAGGCCGTCTTTCTGCCACTGTAGGTCTGGGCTGAGGTCGTCTTTCTGCCACTGTAGGTCTGGGCTGAGGCCGTCTTTCTGCCACTGTAGGTCTGGGCTGAGGTCGTCTTTCTGCCACTGTAGGTCTGGGCTGAGGTCGTCTTTCTGCCACTGTAGGTCTGGGCTGAGGTCGTCTTTCTGCCACTGTAGGTCTGGGCTGAGGTCGTTTGTTTCACCTCTCAGCCTGTCGTGGGCGGAGTTTCCCGTTGGACAGAGTGGTGAATGAATGCGCTGCTAACAAGGTAAATCCGGGGGAGCAAACGAACATAACGAGCATACATGAATCATTCATGATTCCACTCGTTCACAGAGGTAGGCGCGATTAGAACTCAGATCAAAAGCCTTCTGAGCGTTGATCAGCGCTGGGAACGCAATAAGTGGGTACACGATAATTAACCAAATAAAAGAAAGGTGAGTAAACGCTATTTCACAAATAAAAAAGGTGTGTAAACTGCGTTTATGTGCGCTTACCCTCCACTAGATCCCTGGTTGGGTCTGGCAAAAGCAAAACCCATTCATAAACATCAATATCCTGCCAGGCAGGATTGAATCTACATTTGCCAGGCATTTTAGCTATCAATGTGACGTTTGGTGGCGATTAATCAGTCAGTTCTGTACCTGCCTGGCTGAGTGGCAGTGTGGGTGGAATGAGCGAGCTTGCCTGGAAACCAGAGCGCGAAACATGTGAGGAAATAAAACTCTGTAGTCTGCCTGGAAATTAATTCGCAAGACCAAATACTATTTGATCATTTTCTGTTCTCCTCTCATTTTAATTAATGTACTTTTCAAGTACCAACTTGAGAAAATGTCTGATTTCCAAGGTATTCCAGTACTTGAATTTCAGAGTGCCAAATTCAAGTACTTTAAGCACCTCAAGCACTTTGTGCGAACCCTGGAATATAAGCTAACTGTAGCAGGAGCATTCATTTCCATGTTACCTTCCAGAAGGTGATTCCTCCCTCATTATAACGGCTTTCAAGTGAATTCTTAACTGGATATATATGTGGCGGCAGGGAGCCTAGCGGTTAAGAGCGTTGGGCCAGTAACCGAAAGGTCGCTGGTTTGTATTCCCGGGCCAACTAGGTGAACAAATCTGCTGATGTGCCCTTGAGCAAGGCAAGTAACCCCAATTGTTCCTGTAAGTCGCTCTGGATAAATGACTAAAATGTAAATATATTTAGAGAGGCCCATTACAACAGAAGCTGTTCATGGGAATGGTGCAGGGAGGAGAGAGTATGGCAACTGGCAAGCCAATGCTTGTTAGAGATAATCACACAGTGTTATTACTGTACATTACATCAATCCCCATCTCTTCTTTACTCCTAACCCATTTGCTCAACTGTTCCTCTACCCCAGGCTACATCACAATGATTATCTGTTGCTGAAAAGAGAGAAATGAGAAAATAAGTGTCTAAATGAGGGCCATGGTGCAATAGTGTTCAATTTCTGTTTAATCAAAAGTAGGCAATGGTACTATGCTGCTGATACACCCCGTGAAGCGATGAGCCTGACATTGTAGATTGCAGTACATAATGTGTTTAAAATACAAGAACTGTGTTTAGCCAAATAGGCCTATAAGCTATTATAGAGAGAGAGAGAAGGCAAAGGGAATAAAACCACAGAAAGGGGGAGAGAGAGAGTGAAGGCAAAGGGAATAAAACCACAGGAAGTAAGAGAGAGAGAGAGAGAGAGAGAGAGAGAGAGAGAGAGAGAGAGAGGGGGCAAAGGGAATAAAACCACAGGAAGGGAGCGAGAGAGAGAGAGAGAAGGCAAAGGGAATAAAACCACAGAAGGAGAGATAGAGAAGGCAAAGGAATAAAACCACAGAAGAGAGAGAAGAGAGAGATAGAGAGAAGAGAGAGAGATAGAGAGAGAGATAGAGAGAGAGAAGAGAGAGGGGGCAAAGGGAATAAAACCACAGAAGGAGCGAGAGAGATAGAGAGATAGAGATAAGGCAAAGGAATAAACCACAGGAAGGGGAGAGAGAAATCAAATATAATAAAACCACAGGGTGATAGATAGATAGATGAGAGATAGATATGAGAGAGAGAGATATAGAAGATATATAGAGAGAGATAGATAGATATATATAGATAGCTATTAGAATAGATATAATAAGAGAGTGAATAAAACAAGTTAAAACCACAAGGTTAAGATGATAACCCACAGATATAGATATAGAAATGCAAAGTGATAAACCACATTAATTTTAGGAGATAAGAAGGCAAATAATAAAACACATAATAGAGAGAGAGAGAAGCAAATTTAAAACCAAGGAAGAGAGATAATGCAAATTTATAAACCAATGTAATAAAAATCAATTTAATAAAACCACATAGAGAGATAAGAGGCAAATAATAAAACCACAGGAAGAGGGAGAGAGAGAGGGAGGGCAAAGGGAATAAAACCACAGGAAGAGGGAGAGACAGAGAGAGAGAGGGAGAAGGCAAAGGGAAGAAAACCACAGGAGGAGAGAGAGACCTCCATCAGTGGTCTCTGATTGGAGCCTTTTCCAGTCATGATATGCATAATGCAAATGACACTCATGTGAGGCAAGACAACAAGCAAATGGCTACTGCTTTCAGCCTGGAAAAATGAGGTCCTCTAAAAGCATCTGCAAGCTCAGCCTAATGCTCCATTGTCACCCAAGATGCTGCTCCATCTTTACAGAGCCTGAGGAAAATGCTTTACAAATTAGGCTACACTGAGGCCTCACATTTTGTTACATAAACATACTGGTAAACACATTTCTTGTGCTGCATTTCCTCAAATGTTAAGGGATCCAAATCAGGCCTATTGATAGCCTACTCAAAACTGTGCAGCTCTCCCAACTGCAATTTTATTGAGCAAAAACAGACACTTTTTCTTAATTCGATTTTCAAAACCAAAATGTGTTACAACAACCAAAGTATTGGCATTCAAGTCATAACAATGGCGGAAAAGAACTACTGGCAATAAAAAAATAAACCTATTTACTTTGTGTGAGGACTTCACACTTTCCTTTGCTAAAATAATATGTTAATGTAGGTGATAAAAATGAAGTGCGTCTCAGGAAAACATCGCTTGCATATAGCTTTAATGTGCAATTTCAATTATCCACACAAGCAAAGGTGTTAACGCATTTGGACCACGTCTCATATTCAGACTCGTATTCAGAAATACATTCAGCATTTAAAAACCCTCTGTGTAATATTATGGGGGAGGAGGGTGTATATGTTAACAGGAGAGAAGAGGCTTGAATATAAATAGAATTCAATCACATTACAGGGGAGGAGACAGAAATACAAATTAAACATGAGACTAGGCTGCTGGTGCAAAGGTTATCCTTCCTCCTGCACCGCTGAATAAAACACATCAGGCCCAAGGGCATTTTCCCTCTGCTAATTCTACTGTAATACAGCGAAGACATATTCACTGGCAATATCCCATTAGGTAGAACAACGTTTTAATACGTTAATGGAACGTTAGCAAATTCCTTTATTTTGAACGTACATCGATATTATCCACATTATTAATTCCACATAATTTGCAATCAAGTGGTTTCCTTGAGTTGTCGCAATCATGGGATATAGGCCTAGTTCACTCTCTCTGAAATTCATAGGCCAGATTAGGGCCTAGTTCTACTAGGCTGTAGTTTAGGCCCATATTCTTCGGCAATAGTGTAGCTCCATAGGTTGTGAGGTCACGTCTGACCCGATGCTAATTTCACAAGCTAACAATAGCCTACCACTGCCAGAAACAAATGGGAGACAAAGTCCAAGGATCCCGCCGGGCTTTTGGGCAAGACGGCGCAATGTCACTGACCTTCATGCTCCGGTACGACCAAATAAACAAGATGTCCTCACTATTTATGTACGTATGGCGGGAATGAGAGGGGCAACAAATGCACCTTTATCCCATTTCTCTGACCCTGTCAGGTGCTGAGGCTAAGAGAAAAGGCGGGCCAGGATCAAGGTAAATATCAGAGGATGCCAGGAGCATGCTGTAAATCTCGTATGAGCAGCACTATACATGGGCCTGCGTCCCAAATTGTACCCTAAACCCTAGGGGATTACCTATATGGCCTGGTCAAAAGTAGTGCACTAAAAAGGGAATAGGGTGCCATTTGGGACGCAGACAGGGAGTGGGCTGCAGTGGAGCCCGATGAAGCAATAAAATAGATCCACAGCAAAGCATCCTTGACAGAGTATTCGTCACTCACGCCCTCCATATGTCCACTGGTACAGTCAAAAGGAGAAAGGTGGGCACCAGAAATACTGGGAGGCAATAATACACACTCAACCACTGAAGTGATACGTTCAGTTCACCTCGATGCTAACGTGTGTCAATCTGACTGGGCTCTGTCGGAGCCTTACACAGTGTATTACAACTATGAAAAACCAATCAATCTGTGACATAAACGCAATCTTTAATGGAGGTACATGTCAGGTCATGCATTCTCATTGCTCAGAGAAAAACAGGTGATATGTAGGACATGCCCATTTCATAAGACAGTATAAAGTTTAGCCTATTCCTCAGCTTTCTTTTGGAATAGGGCTGTTTTTTCCTCTCCTCTTCTTTCACCAATCAGAATGGGGTACGATTCCAAATCCTGAAACCAAATTCTTGTCCCACAGTGAGACTGGAGAGGCCCTAGAAATTCCAGATAAGACAGAGTATGATTAAGATAACATGGGCAGCAGCAACGAAGCCGGGACAAGGAGAGGCCAGCAGCCTCCTGCCACATTCTTCTAGCCCAACAGGGAGTTCAACACTCAGAGAGACACTGACTCACCCAAGGCCGCCTCTAACACAACATCCAACTATACGAGCAGCTAACTTGTTTAGAACTGAGGCCTTGGTTTTGTGAACTCTGTGTCCTACGATGCCAAAAACCTAAGGCTACAGTATCAAGGATGGTAGAAACTATCAAGAATGAGGAGGAGGGCTTAGCAGGGTGAATCAGACAGAGAGCTTTCAAGGATTGCAGACATGAGGGCTGGTGTGTAGAGTGCAGTGGCTGGGTGGCTGGCTGAGAGGTGCAGGCTGGTAATGTGAGAGGCATGGAGGCACTCACTGAACCTGCAGCGGAGCAGAGCCATGGTCCATGCTTTGGCACAATGGGAAGAAAGGAACCCTGGCTGGTCAAAGCGCACGACGACAACCCCCCACTCATCTGCAGCACACCAGCCATTCACCTTAATCTGTCAATCAACCACCTCACAACACTATCTCTGTGTGGGGAAGGTAGT